TAGTTGTATTTTGGAGAGCACTGAACGCTGATTGCAATTCTGTCCTTGTTATCAGCTGTGCATACGTTGGAATGTTATTCTGGGGTTAGTTGAACGCCCATTTAAATAAGATCAAAACTGCTCTAGTGAGCCTTGTTGTACAATTTATTAGGCTGGCACATAAGTTTTGCAACTCTCCCGTAACTTTTTTCCTATTTTATGCAGCAATCTCTTTTTGTGGTTTCATGTAGATCGTGATTTAAGCTGCAACTCTGCGCAAACCGTTTGATTTTTGATAACGTAGTGCAAAAATCTAAGCATTTTTTGAAAACTGCTGAAAATCGAGGTTTTACGATTTTTTGGCAAACATGAAGCCCTACGAAACCTGATTCAAACATGTGAAAAAGCAATTATAGGCAGCATGTAGCTAAAAGTTGGCACATTGAAATCAGTGAAAAAGAAATGAAATTTAAACACAAATTAAGCTGGGGCGCCTTTGAGAATTTGAACAAGTCAAATGCGTCAAGTTTTGAAGGCAATTTGTCAATAAATAAGCTGCGAAAAGTCAGAATCCGCTATAACTTTGCACTATAGGGTAATCCTATGCGATAAACACGAATATCATATTCATTTGTCGCTAAAATGAAATTTATCTTTTGATCTTACGAACGAGGCCTTTTCATGCGAAACGGATCTCATTTTTGTGATCAGCATGTCAAATAAGCCCTATTGGCCAAGTTTCAGCAAAATCTGATGCATTCTAAAAATTTTCCCATAGTAACGTAAACCTACCGTAATCCTCACATAAGATGGTAAAATTCGGCAAAAACGTGTGCATTAGAAGCTTACATCATATTCCTTACATTGCTAAAAAATGAATGCGTTACGTTCAAATAGACAAAAGTTATATAAAAAGTTGCATTACTTATGTGCCAACCTAATATTAGGACGGAAGTTCATACGCTTTTTCCAGCGCATTCATACATTTTGAAAAGACCAAGCAAATGCCTTATCGTGTCCTGCGTCCATTTCTCTTTTTGAAAACATTTATTGCTCAGCATACAGAAGCGCGCACTAGATAACCGAAGCGAAATTGGAAACCAGCGTTTGATGATGCTCTGAGTTGTTGTAATTTAATGGAAAAGGAACTTCAACAAACGCGTTCCTTATAGTTACTAATCTTACATTGTGCGATAATTCATTCAACTTGGAAGTACCACACATACCACATATGATTTGGCAAACTCCTCAAATTCCTGTTAGAAAAGATTATCACGGAAGTTTTGTAATAATTGAAAAATCTTTTTTTTAACTCAGCGTGCAACTTTATGTATAGTAAGTAGGATGATTTTTTCCTGAAATTGTCGATTTGAGCTATCGTTCGACTGTGGCAGGGAAAAAGGACACACACGACATCGCTCGTGATTTGAATTCCAAATGACATTGTCCCTAAGAATATATTCATAAAAGAAGGACGAGGCGGTTTTACTTACACAATTCGCGTTGTTCTAGCTGCTCATTTACAGACGAAGTGCTTCGATTACTGGAACAGGGATAAACAATGTAATTTCTGAAAGCAAAAGATGAGAAGGCTCCGATGATCCCCTTTTCCGTCATCGTAGTTTTTCTACGAAAGTCAGTTTTGAAAACCTATCGACAGCGTTTCATAAACATATGGTATAACCATTTTCGGCACGCTACTTACGAGTCTTCCCTTGTAACACCCCCTTCTAAGATTTCACTCGTGATTCCAAACTTCATTTTTGGCTTTGCTCAAGAGCGACACCAGCTCAAATATCTTCCTTCGTATTTTTGAATTGACAAGCACAAATGAGTCCATCGTAGGACTTTCGTTGGCTGTCAAAGAAAACGATCGTGGTTGCAAGTCAGCAGCGATTCTCTCCAATCATACAAGACCATGTTTTGCAGATCTTCATGGATTTGCAAAAAAGAGAGGACAATCATTTACAACTCTAATGAACGATTGTTTTTACGCAGCATCAAATTTCATTCCATTTATTTCAGTCAACAATCTTTCAAAGTAATATCTTTTCTGAACCGAAATAGACTGAGCAAAAAACCATCCAAACATGAAATAAAATGAATCCAACATCGATGCAAGCGTAACAAACCAAGAACAGAATAACAGATAACTTTTAGGATGACAAGAACATCTCACATTTTTTACGATGAGATCATCAGATTACGCGATCTCAGATATTCTAAGAGATGACGGCAGAAAGCAGTAGATGATGAGTACCTGAACAGTTGAGGATCTAAGGCATTCCAGAGCATCTGCACACGGCAGATGAAGCCTTGCTTATACGATGCAAGATTAGGTTTTTCAATGTTTTCAATGCGAATTCTGAAATTATGGCCCCTCGTGTAGTTTGCACAATATGTTTGCTCGAAAATATCGGACAAATCAAGGTCAAGCTCATTTGTTGTAAGCTTGTACCGCCTGGACTACAAGAAACTGATGCAATTCTTCAATACAAAACTTTAAACGTCATCTGTAAGCGTGTATCTTCGAAACAGGAAAACGAGCGAGATCGTGCTGTTGACAATATGCACAACTTCGCAGGACAAAATGCTGAAAATCTTCCTCTAATCAAATAAAGTTTTGCAAAATTCTCAATAACAGAGTCTGGTGTGGTGGAGTTATGCTAAGACTTGCAACAACCATTTAAAACACTTTAGCACAGACCAGGGCTTGGACCGCCAACATGGGGGAACGGAACTTAGGTCCCCTGACAGCCAACTGACAAGGGAACCGTGTCGAGTCGAAGTGGCCTTTCCAGATGACACCCATACTGCTTTGAAGAGCATTAATCGGTGACTCTAAATCTGCTTTCCAAATCTGCCAAGCGCCTCTGGGCGCCGAGTTATACTCGTTTTTCAGGTCAAAAAATTGAACGCAAAACTGAAGCAAAATTGCCCAAATTTGCTCAAATGATCCAATGTCAAGTATAAGAGCTGTTTATGCAATGGGATACATTTTATTCAATATGCTAATACTTAACATTGCTTTATCTGAGCGCTGGAAAGATTGTAACAATCAATTTTACCTAAATTTTGCGTTCATTTTTCGTTCCGAAGGACGGTCATAACTCAGCGTCCAGAGGCGCTTGGCAGATTTGGAAGACAGATTTGGAATCATCGTTTAATACTCTTCAAAGCAGTATGGGTCTAATCTGGAAAGGCCCCTTCGACTCGACACGGTTCCCTTGTGAGATGTAATTTTGGAGCTCATGAGTTGTCAGTAACGATAATTAACACATCTGCAGAGCGCATGCTAGGCCCCGCCTCTATCCAGATACCTCTCGCAACTTAGCAGAGGTCCACCGGGACGCGCCTCGTGATAATGAAACGGGATTTTCAAATGAAATTGAAATGCAAAGTTCAGTATCGAAATTTCGCCAAACAAAGTGAAAACTTGGATTTAGGGGTTTTCAAGTACGCTCTTTCCAAATATGTAGAGAATTTTTTCATAATAACATGTACAAGGTTTGTAAAAAAAATTTAATTTTTTTTTGTTTCATTTCAAATTTCAACCAATTCAAAAAACATATCGTAGATACCAGAGAATTTCATCGTGTTCGCTAGTAGAATTATTTTGATGCTTCACCGTTCCGAGTATCAAAGTTTTTACAGTGGCAAATTCCATGAAAAAAAATTACGCTCAGGTAAATGATAATGTGGAACAAAGACATAGAGACACCATGATCAAAGTTTATCCACCATAGACAATAATTTGAGGTGTGAACAGGAATCCGATCTTACTGCCTGTAGCAATGAGCAGCTACTCATGGCAAAACAAGGTTAAAAACGTGAAATTAGGCGATTTTATGCCAAAGAAAAGCTGAAAACCTCAAATTATTGTCCATGGCTGGACGAACTGTGATCATGGTGTCTCTATGTCTTTGTTCCATTCATTATCACTTACCTGAGCGTAGTTTTGTTTTCATGGAATTTGCCACTGTAAAAATTTTGATACTCGGAACGGTGAAGCATCAAAATAATTCAACTAGCGAACACGATGAAATTCTCTGATATCTACGATATGTTTTTTTGAATTGGTTGAAATTTGAAATGAAACAAAATAAATTGAATTTTTTTTACAAACCTTGAGCATGTTATTATGAAAAAATTTCCTACATATTTGGAAAGAGCGTACTTGAAAACCCCTAAATCCAAGTTTTCACTTTGTTTGGCGAAATTTCGACACTGAACTTTGCATTTCAATTTCGTTTGAAATCCCCGTTTCATTATCACGGGGCGCGTCCTGGTGGACCTCTGCTAGGTTGCGAAAGGTATCTGGATAGAAGCGGGGCTTAGCATGCGCTCCGCAGATGTGTTAATTATCGTTATTGACAACTCATGACCTCCGAAATTACATCTCAGTTGGCTGTCAGGGGACCTAAGTTCCCTCACCCGCCAACATGCGGTGTGTCGTAACCGTAGCAAATTGGATGGGAAAAATGAATCTCCCTGTAGACTGCTTTAGCGGAGAGCAAGATTGGTACAGACCTTTATTGCACAGCTTATACAGACTGGCGTTTCGGCAACTTCGCCTTTTTCAGAGTCTGAAATATCGAAAACACATCAGTAGCCTTTTCTATCAAACACCTGGCGATTATAGAGAAAAGCCCAACGCTCCGAGAAAAGCAAGAGCTACAACTAAAACGCAAAACCGAGCAACCGCTCACCTGACCGATCATAGATGAGGATCTCACAAAAAGAATTCCATCTTTTTCCAAAGTGATGAATGCGACATAAACCGGTTAATCCGAGCTTCATGCTTGCTCACCTAAATCAGAGAAATGGGACATTTAAGCAACGATGAGCTTGATTGGTAAATGGCTGCATTCGGTAGATGTGGTTCAAAATTAGGCGACCAAATTTGAAGGGCCTGGAGGAGAACAGAACTTACTGGAATATTGAAGACCTTTTGCTTTTGCTGCTTCTTCACTCTAACATTCTCATCATCGGAGATCTCGATCTTGAATCAATTAGGAAAATTATGGATTGACTTCTCCACTAAAGGTGAGTGCCTTGTCGATGATCGGTTTGGTCTCTTGTGCAAATTGGATAGATACTTCAGTTACTGAAACTTCAGTTTGCGCTTTATACACTTTGAAATCTATGATGCGGAATAAATAATTTCTTTTTAGTGATTGGGAGCTTTGACACTTGCTGTTATTGTGATTATTTCAACAGCTCAAACACATCAGAAGAGCACAGAAGAGAAGTTTGACCGTAAGAATCAATCGGAAAGTCTGACATAGTGCTTCCGTAAAATACAAAATTTTTCGGGGATTTCCGTTTGACAAACCAACCACAAAAAATTTACCAAGGTCGTGGAGCACGAACCGCAACGTGCTGACAATCAGCCTGCAATCATTAAAAGATGCTGTCACGATGCAGCATGCGGACGACCCGACCGCTACCGCGCTGCTCTCGACCGGTTCTCCGTCATCGTCCTCGTAAGAAATACCAATAGGAGATGTTTTCTGTGTCGACGACAATGATCAACGCAATTCAGCTAATACTTCTCAGTCTCATAATGTCATATCTATCTGTAACTTTATCAATATTCTCATTTGTATAACTGACCAAAATCACTTTCGTCATATGACATTTTGTCTAATTAGATCAAATGCGGAAACCGGTTGCCAAGCATAGTATGTAGGGCTTTGAGCGAGTTCGTTTGTACCTACGTACTTCGTCGTTCACGATCAATGTTAGTTCCTATTCTATATACGTTTCATAATATCAACAAAACTCTATTTGATGCATAGTTAGAATGTGGTATGAACTTTCGCACAAGTGAGAGATCATCGCAGAGTTCAACAGCTTCAAAGATCCAGCTTTAGCTATTTACGCTTACACGTTTATAGAAAGCCTTCTTAGTAAATGAGGCGAAAACACTAAAACAGATTTCTCATTGAACCTGTGACATCTCCGCTAAACATAAGGCTATTAAAACACAATCAGAGTACTTTGTTCTTCCTCTCATCAAGCAAAACCAAAGCTACTGATCAAGGTACCATAAAGTAGGGTGTATATGCCCTGAGCCGGCAGTTTATACAAGATTTGATTCGAGTAGTACCTTACCTGTAGTGAATGTGTGCGTACAAGCACTATATGGTAAACTACAATGAGAGTTGTGATCGGCATTTTGTGAAGCTCCGTAGTCAAAAAGAGGATACCTCCTGGCTTTGTGCGCCTGTACGGATATTGAGCAGTTCAGCTCGCTCGGATTCGGCTATCTATTGCCATGCAAATGGATGACAATATCAGGATCTTGTGCGCGCCTAAAATTCATCACTTTACATCCAACTGTAGCTCTTGCATTGTAGCATGGTTTTCCGGAAATTCGTTAGGGAAATCTGTACCATTTCAATCGCAGAAATAAGTTCTGCGTAGCCATACACCATCCAATTTTCCTCAAATTACTCTTCCTAATGATAACGTACATCTTCAAACTGTTTTAGCCAATTTAACAGATTGTATTAGGTTAGTGATAAAATAATGCCTGCTTTTGTAGGTTATTTCCCGGACATCTCTTTTCCATTAAACTTTCTTTTTCGATACAGATTTTGCATAACATTGGTAAGCTTTCCTCATGTAATTTCCTAAAGTGGTGCAACAGCCTCTCTTCATCTGTGAAAATCTCACCAACCTCTTTCGCACCCGCACTCAAAATCGAAACTTTATCGTTTCCTTTTTTAGTCACAATTCAGGAGCAGTAAAAATTTTTCGGAAATATCTGGACTGGGAAATCGACGCCCCAAAACAAATGCTCTGGCATTCTATGGGCCAAAAATTTCCTATGATTAAAGCAATTGCCAAAGCTTTGCTCATTTCTGTAAGCTTGAGATTAAGACATCCTGTTTACATTTTTTGCAAAAAATCTTAGCTATTCAACGTCAAAAACTTCAACGTTCATAATTTGGGATTTCCAGGTCTACCACAAATAGACTCAAAAAAGTGGACAGCTTTGGGTCTTTATCTTTTCTTTCTGCAAAACTCCTTCTTTGTAGTCTTTTTATTTTCAAATACTTTATACCTTACTGTCTTGCGGCTACAAAATAAGTTGATCACCGACCATAGGAACAAAAGTTGAAGGGAGTTGTGATCTCTCGAAAACAAGGTTTCAAAAATGAAGCTTTCGGTTTCTTGACGCATAGTCTTCATTTGCGATATTAGTATGAGCAGGCATATATTAGGAAGATTTACTCTTCTGATGGGTTTCACTACATCCACAAATAGTATTGGACAAAGTTATAGTTTATCAAAGTCAAACCTTGCAAAAGGACGTTATTTTTGCCACCAACCTAATACTATTGTGTGATACTTATGCAGTCAAATATTTCCGAAGAATGCCTACTCTTTTGGTGTGTATTAGAACAGAGGTTCCTAAATGCACGCATAATTTTTTGTTCATTCCATTTTGAAGAAACGCTTCCTTCAACTTTACTTTGATTAGCAATGGACAATTTTTTGAAATTCAGTGCTTTGCTCAAGTGTGATACATGTCGTTGAAACTTTCATAATGCTTTTATGTCAAGCAAGTTGCTGAAAAAAATTTATAGTGGACACTCGAATCGCGCAAGGAATTTCTCATGGTGAATCGAAGTAAATAATGTTACCTTTATGATTGGGATATGCTTCTTTTATGCCTACGTCATTTATACCATAATAATATTATTGTGATGGAAGATAGAAGAAGCCAAATTACCTTTTTCAAACATTTTATTCTTTCCTCGTATTTTTCAAGAAATTACAGCTATCATCTCACCATATTGCTTTTCACAGTAATTCGCCGAACAAACCCGGCGATGGCGAACCATGCGTAGCGCGCATCTTCGTGCAGTTCCTATGCCAATCATCATCGAATTGACCCATTCAACATGGCATCGGACCGGTTTTCGTTTAGCATTCGCTTATTTTCACATTTTACAACCATATCTTGCCGCATTACTTTGGTAATCATGTTATGAGCAGCGTACGATGCGCTGCAGAAATTTTTTGAAAACTGCTTCATACTAATCTTTATTTGATATGGCTTTTTTGAGCTGTACTCGTCGCTATTATATACTAGCAATCTATGCAATTCTCAACGTTATGTTCTGTTGATGTCACAGCTTGAAACAGTACAAATGTTATAATGGATTTTCTTTTCTACGCTTATTCTCCTGCCTATCTTGTCGACTGGATGGACAGTCTTAGGTGGGAAGCAGTGATGTCAACTAACCTTGAAATAGTTCTTGCTGACGCTATAGCAGCAACCACTACTTATGGTAGGCTGCAAAATCGGTGCCATTTGTGACTCAAGATGCCGAAGAATAATAAGTGCTTTTTGATGGAGGCGAAAAATGCTTTAAGCATTGTCAAAAATTTGAAATTAATTTTTGAAACTTAATTAAATTAACTCTACCAAATCCAAATTCGGTCGGGCTAGGTCTCATCGAATATCAACCGCGAGCAGAGTGCGTGTCATTTAATGCTGTCTTTTCTCTTTCTGACAGATGTTTTTCCCCACTTTGTAAATTCCGCAGGAATAATGTTACCATGATTCTTGTTCCTGAACGCGCCCCAGATAGTGCTTGGATTTAAGAATTGTTATTTTGAAGCGGTAAATGTTCAATTTTTCAACTAAGGTTTTGAAAAAATATTTTTTGGCATCTGATGCATTAGCGTATGAGGAATTGCAAAAGTGAAGACTTTTAGAAAAATTGTCTTGTCAAGTGCTCAAGATTGAAGATAGCAATAAACTTTTGAATTACCCTTTGTTTTAAATGCTTTCATACACACAAAATGAAATTTGAAAACACAAGCAAGCTGTCAAATCATAGAAACAAAATTTTACGATTATTTTAATGACCACAAAAGGAAGCAAGCCAAAGGCATACCCGAAAAAAAGCTTCTTTGAATAGTCTACAGACTGCATACTCATTTCTATTTTCTATAAGATAGAAAAAAATGGAAAGGATCTTCGGAAAAACCTAATATCGGGTACCTAGCAGATTAGGCTGAATAAGATTACACGTGAAAATGTGCAAGTCAAATCAACTTACGAAAAATCCTTGTTCATCCTTTTTCCTTAAAAATGCCGATTGCTTCGACGTGTCTACGTTATCTGTGAAAACTCGACGAATGTCGACTACAGGTAATGGTCAATAAATCACACGTCACAGTTTCCACTTTATCCCAGACCGTACTCTGAACGTTTGCAATGCAATTGATTTGAAGTTGAGCGAATCAAGTTTATCGTGACGTTGCGCAAAAAATTGTTCTGTCTCGTATTCCCGACATCCGTCGTTTTCTCTGTCCATTACTCTTGGTAATATTTGTTCTAAGAGCATAATCAATTTAGTGAATGATATCTGACGATGTCGTCCTCCTGCAGGACGGCAGATATGAACAGAAAATTCAAGTCGACCGACGAAGGCTTGAGGCCATGATAACGGGTAAGTTGTAGACTGAGCTAGCCACATAGGACTAAAATGTAACTAATACATGTCTGGAACAGCTAGGAGTATTCGATATGAAGAAGTACTGCTTCATCTGTGCGACAATGTCTTGCATTACCGTGCAAACCACCGCACTACAAAACTTTTTTCAGGTGTTCCCGCGACCGAAACAGGTTTCATATTTATTAATGCGGAGGACTTTTTCAATAAGGTTTGTCCTTGATCGTTACTAATTCTCCTTTTAAACAACTCCCACTTGTTTGTAATTCTCCTCGTTATAGCTGCAATCTAGGTGAAACAATATTCTGGTGCAGAAGTTTGCTGGCCGTCGCAGTTAAAGATCGGTGCGAAAACAAAGAAAGGTTCTCGGATGGAGAAAAAAATAAAGGCGATTTTATACTTATTTAATTCAGATCCATTCGTGAAAGTGATTGGAACCATAGAGCAGATTGATAAAGCGAAAAAATACATCAGCGCCACACTTCAGGTGAAGGTGGGGTAATCGTATTCAAAATTGAACGAGAATGTGGATCGACTGAATTGCATCTTACGCGCTTAACGCATACATAATGCTACGGCGGAACAAAATTTTTCGAAGTCTCATCTTGGGACTACTGTCATACTTTAGAAGGAAAGAGCTACACTGAAGATGGACATTCATCACTCAATCCACTCACATATCATTGGCAAAGCTGGACGAGGCATACAGCAAGTCATGCGGGCAACCGGCTGCCACATACACTTCCCAGACTCGAACAAATACACGTAAGTGTCTAATGTGCTTGTAGAAAAACTTTCGCACTAGTCTACAAAACATACCATATCTATCATTTAAGCAGCACAGCGCTCCCTCTGCGTTTGCTCCCCAATTCTATTTACAAAAAGTCATCAAACCTCAGAACCTTGATAAATAATTAATCCCACGAAGAGATATGCCGGAATGCAGCTAATCCTTTACAGCTTACTCTTCAGTGTACTCCGCCTTTGGGATGATTCGGTTTTACTCTCTCTTCTCCTCACCCTTGTGTATATGAGGTGATGATGTTGAGGCTAATGTGAACCCTGCTGCAGATTAGGAAAAGGAACTGCAAACCTTTGCCCCGACATTAAATGAAAGTCGCTGATTGTTTTCAACATGTCCGATAGATCTGAATTAGTGGAAGCAGCCCTTGATAATTTATGAGCTTTTCAAGCTGGGAATTGACTATGATTAATTACACAATCTCGGTTTGTTTTCTTGATGTTGTTTTTTGCTAGAACCTTGTTTTTTGCTACTAGAATCTTTGAAGAATCCCCAGTTATCCCCCTGCAACGAGTGTATTTTGCCTCAATGTTTTTTGATTCCGATTCAAAGCTTTTTAGCTGTGGTTAAGTTTTGAAACTTACTCTTTTCTTACAGGAGAAATTTGTGCTACAAATTTGCAATAGTAGCTATCTTTACTCTATAAGTTAATTTCTCTCCAAACCCCTTTGTGGTGTACATTATATTACAATAAAACATTCGGGGTTTGTGGCGATAGTGTAAGCCGAAATATTTTACCAAGCATTTTCAAAACAAAGTTTTTTGGACTTTCAAAGTACGAATAAATTTGGGAAACTTCAAAAAAAAAGAAACGGCTCCAAGTAATAGAGAGCGTATCTATTTTGAAAAGAGAGATGATTCTAAAATGAATTGAATTATTTATAAACTATTGATCTGCTCCATATCTTAACATTAAGCAAGCCTAAGTAGAATGATGAAAAGCCTTTGATAGTTGCAGCGCATTCCTGTGCCAAGTAATCAGATGATGGCGGAAGGGAGGGGGGCGTTTGTTACAACAAGGCGTTACGGTAATCCGCGGGAGAGCTCTGGGGCAGGAAAATCGTCTAAAGTGCAAATCCGAGATAACTAGCGTTTCTTCTGTGTCGTTAATCTTGTACCCCTTTCCCCTCATTTTACAGCTACTGTTTAGGCTGGCTGAAATCTAAGCCCCAAAGAACGAATTTCCACTCCAAAAGAAATTGCAGAATCCCAAATCAACTGCTTAGGAGATTTTATCAGGAAGAATCGTCCTCGCTGTCTTTTCTAAACCTCTCACCGCAACTTTCCAAAGTACCCCAAAGCGTCGCAGTGTTGTTTATTTGCAACAAAACAATGATCGCTTGCTAGTGTGTGTCTTTCGTGCCCTCTTAAGGGTTACTTTCAAGGGCTTCATGCGAGTAGCACTTGTATGGAGTTAGACCAGGAATGATATCCACGAAAGTCCATTTAAAAATGGGCTTTTCGCGAATGAAACGCGAATAAAATGGGCTTAGTCCCTGCGGTGCGATAAGATATCGCGTTTGCGAATCCATTCATTCCATACAAAAATGCTTCAGCAAACCTTTCTTCAACTTGCCTCAACCTGTTTACTCACTCTTGCAAACTCATTCCCACCAAGTGGTCGAATCTAGGCTGATCTAACTTTACTATATCAGTCACGTGGACACTCCGTTCTTTTCCATTTCATTACACCTCATAGAATGCCATTTATTAACTATGACTATGCATCTAAATTAGTTTCAGTCCATCTAAAATCCAAGCAATATCAGGGCATTCGCTCTTCAAAACTTCTATGAATCTGCATTGAATCAAATTCGTATGTGGAGTTTCCAGCAGAAAGCAAACTTTGGCTAGACTTGCATTGGAATTTGTGAATCAAAATGCTTATCTCACAGAAAACCTTGTACTACAACATACACCTACACTACAACACAAAGGCTTTTAAGCTGGAAAAACTTTGGATCTGCAAAAAATTGATGGCTTCTCATGCTGTACTTTAGCAACCCCAAAACTTTCATGCAAATATGGCGATATGAAGCTGTTTTTCTTGCATCAGCTGTGTGAGTTTGAGGGGTGGATACTAGAATGATGACAAAGTCACTGAGTTCAATTTTGCGTTTAAAACTTATCTAGGCATATACTCTGATCCCAAGTCATATGTGCTTTTGATGATCAAAGTTGCTTAGGGGAAGTGCTACGAACAACTGAAGCAAAGCGGACTTATATCCGTCTCAGCATATAGGAAATGCTTGAACCAATGCCTTTTGCTATTGGCAACCTTATTATAAATTTTGAACAGAATTCAAATTCACCGGTTGTTGGAAAAGCTCTCGCATAATCCGGTATCAATCAGGTAACCTTTTTTCTCTACCCTAATGTGATGCTCTATATTCGAAAATAAAACAGAGTTCGCTTCGACGTTTTGGGTATTGAAAAGTGTTTTTGGTGACAAAATGACGTATCGAGAAGATTTTCTCTATAAAATGGCTTGCTTAACTTTGGTAAATCGCGATTTTTTTTTAATATTTCCACTAGATGGCAAACCCGGCTCCGCCCGGGGCCAAACTTTGCACACATACACTTCGGGGCAGGGAGCGTGTCATAGTCCACTTTTCGTTATCGATCGATGTCGATTTCACCGATTTTTTTGCAAATTTTGAGCTACGGGGCTGGGATTTTGCACAGGGGGGTGATCAGCATGTTCGATTACCCCCCTGTGCAAAATCCCAGCCCCCTAGCTCAAATTTTGCAAAAAATCGGTGAAATCGACATCGATCGATAACGAAAAGTAGCCTATGACACGCTCCCTGCCCCGAAGTATATGTGTGCCAAGTTTGGTCCCGATCGGTTCAGAAATAAAAATTTCTATTCCGCACATACGTACAGACAGACATACAGACATACATACAGACAGACATTCAGCTTTATATATAAGATACGAGAGCAAGAAGTGACTAATGTATAGACTATAGCTAGTAAGAAATTTTTCACAGAATATTCTGACTTGCTAGCGGTACTTCAGTACTTCTTGCTACCAAATTCATAATCGCGAATTTTGAATTGCCGTCTTTGTGTCTGTCTGTCTCAACTGTCTACGAAAAATTTTTTTCTATGATTTTCAGAGCATTTCAAGGCTGTTTGGAAAAGATAGTTTTTTGGCCCTCCTAAAGAAGATAAAACTTTCTCCGTTCGCTTAGTATCTTAAAATGGGCTAGGGAACATATTCTCAAAAAATCGCAATCAAAAATATGCAAGAATATCAAAAATGGGCTTAGTCCCAGCACATCTGGGTGCTGGGAGTAAAATGGGCTTATCAGAAAGGTGAGAGAGAATGAACATGGAGGTGAACTCCATTTTGCCCCATTCTAAAATGGACTTTTGACGTCATCTTCCGCGAGCGATAGCTCAAGTAAGCTTGAATCATTTTCATTTCACCGCTTTGCCTCGCGGTTGCGATGGGATGAAAAATTTTGGATATCGTAAGCGGAAGCCGATTTCGACCACTTTCTAACGCGAACGAATAAAATGGACTAAGTAAGTCCATTTTCCTTCATTATGGACTTTCGTGGATATGAGTCCAGGAAACCTCAATAAAGGATGAGAAACTATGCGCTGTCATGCTGATTTTCCGCGCTGTAATAACTGTCAGCCTGTCGGGCACAGCGTCTGAGTAATTGACGCGTGCATGTGCGATACGCAAACCTAAGGGACGGAGAGGTGAGCGCATCGAGTAGGGTAGCCAGATGAAGGCTGACACATGCGTGTTGTTAATTTTGATTATGCGTTTACGTTTGCAAATCCCTCACCCCTGCTGTTTTCGTGACATTTATGACTATGATTTATTATAGAGACTCAGCCAACAAAAGCGATCAAGTGTCCATTTCGGGTCCTCCACAAAACATCGAAAATGCGAGGAAACATCTTCGTGTAAGTACAGATTTCTAACTTTTGTGTTCAAAACTTCTGTACAGCTTTCGTCTCTATTTATTTATTAGGTAGTCCGGAAACTAATGTCCGTTTTGAATTTCAACCTCAATAAGTCATACACTTCTCATTTCTGAATAGGTTGCAAGGCACCATTCGATAGTGCAAAGCAAGCTTTACAGAATGGCGATCTTCTTTTGCAACAGCTCTCATTAACGTTGAGTTTCGAGCCAAAAACTAAAATGATTCAGGTGCACAAAAAATCGAGAAAAATCATAACTCAATTCACAAAAATCCTACAAAAATTCTAACTTGCTCACGTAAACACTATCCACATAAGACAACTATATACGCCGTTGCCGTCGTTTTTCACCTTTTGGAAATTAAGAAAACGAAGATTTTTATGTTCTTGCTAAAGCAATGCTGTGTAGTCCCAACATGCATAGTTGTGTACTACAAACCTGTAGAAGTACAAACGTAAATTTTCAGCTCTCTACAAGTTTTGGTTCTCGAGAAATATTGAATATGGCTTTCCCTGGTCAGGTGGTCCAAGCCAAAATTCAAATTTCTCGGGAATTAAAGCTTGTAGAGAGCTGAAAATTTACGTTTGTACTTCTACAGCTTTGTAGTACATAATTACACATGTGGGGACTGCACAGCATCGTTGAAAAATGCGCGTAAATTTCCGTTTTCTTGATCTCCAAAGGGTAAAAAAGGACGGCAACGGCGTATATTGATGTCTTATGTGGATAGTGTTTACGTGAGTAAGTTAGAATTTTTCTAAGATTTTTATGAACTGAGTTACGATTTTTCTCGATTTTTTGTGCAGCTGAACCATTTTAGTTTTTGGCTCGAAACTCAAGGTTAATGAGAACTATTGCAAAAACAAGATTGCCATTCTGTAAAGCTTGCTTTGCTCTATCGAATGGTACCTAGCAACCTATTCAAAAATGAGAAGTGTATGACTTATTGAGGTTGAAATTCAAAACAGACACTAATTTCCGGACAACCTAATATAATCATGCGAATGAATTGCTTGAATGTCAAATGCTTAATGTCTTGGAACTTTTTTGCAGGCTATCTCCCCATTGGTGCTGACTTTCGATTTGCCATGGGTATTCCCTAAAGAACCAGAAGTGACACAATTTCCCCCAGAGATGAGTGTGTGTCATGTTTGAATCTTTTCGAATAGAGCTAGCTTATTTGAAATTTTTGCACAAGATCGTCTGCAAAAATGAGATTAATTATGAACAATAACAACAATTAGTGAATGTTAGTTTTAGGTTATGCTGACTTTTCGTGCCGTTACTCCAACATTGTACTCCTGTGTGTTGCGTGCTAATGCTGGTGACGATCTCATAATTTTGCAAGCAATCAGTGTTATCATGGCACAGTTTCACGTCCCGGTAACATCAGAGTTTATAAGATCTAGTTTATAAGATTTTTCCGATTAGGAGAAAACTCCATCTTTTTCCAAGTTTCTAGTTCTTTAGGAGGAATTTCCGCTAACCGTGCGTACAACCTTCACTGTCAAAGAGGAAATGCTGCAATCATTACGCAAAGGAGACGAATCACATAGGCGAGTGCATGAGCTTTTGAGCATGCTCACAAATATCAAAACATAATAAACTATTCCGTGCATTGCAAAGCTGAACCAAGAAAAGCAATAATTTGTTGAAAGTCTTTAATAATCTTGATAGTGGTTTATCATGGTACAAAGTGGTTACAAGATTCCTGTCCTTTTACTGTCGCCTTATGTTCAAAACTGTTTTCACAGATATTATTAATAGCGCGATTGAGTCTGTAACGGTCAAAAGCATTCCCTAGCCTGTGTTTGTTTTTTCCGTCGATTGTCAAGATTCGAAACGTCTATTTGTCAGACTAAAGTTTTGGTCCCGACTCAAACAGTCATTGAGAGTGCAGACCCTGTCTTGATGTTAGATCAAACCAATTTGAAAACTAACAAGCGCACTAAATCATTTACTAAATCATTTAAACAGTTCAATCATTGACGTCAAGGGATGTACGGTTTTGATCATCGATTGAGGTGGTGCACAAACACAAACTACGAAATCATGCAAGACTCGTAAATAATTGAGCTTGGACTCTTTTATTGATTGTTCTGAATTCTACATCCCATCCAATTCTCACTATTACGAGATTCTCAATCTAAAGGCACAGATGTCATAATAAAGATTTTTTAACATGTTCGACTTCTGCACGCCTTTCAGGTAGTAAAAATTTTGATTCTAGGTTGAATAGGCTTGCTCAGCGGTTTGGTGTACATCTCCAACTTCCAGAAGCTTCTCAGCCAGTCCTCATCTATGGACCCTCCAGCGGTGTTCTTCTAGTGCGCAAATTCATAATGGTTGGTCTTGTGCAGATTTCTTTCGGTAGTGGGAGGCTTCCATACATTTACAGGGTTTGTCACCAATTGTCCTATCGTTTGATGTGCACATGGGAGAGCTTCGCTCGGACATTGAAAGTACACAGAAAGAATTTGGTGTAATGGTCTATTCGAAAAAGAAAAACAACGCACACGATTTAGTGGTAAATGGCACCAATTCTGCAATATATACGGAATGGCATTGATTTTTTGAAATTAAGGCAGTGTCAGTGCGGTCCACAGAAGAGAATATGCTGAAAGTTATTCGCACGAGAGAGTATCTGCTTGGATTAACTTTAACAAATTTTCTAGAAAATGAGTATACTGGACTAGAAACACCTCAAGGTAATAAATAGCATCTGAGGAAAAGGAGCGGATGATGACAACTAAGTATTGGGTAAGAGCATTTTTTTAGCATCTGAGGAAAAGCTCGTAATGCCCATGAACTCGCTCTTTGATGCACTCCCTGAAACACCAAAAAGTCCAAACCCACTGGATTCGCCGATTGCTTCGTCCATACTAAAAGGAGCTAAAGAGTATAACAAGAAAAAGTAAATATATCTGAACAATTACTAGTCAAATATTTCTTCCTTGCAGCGATTTGTGGAACAAGACGGTTGCAGCGAGAGCAGATCGGGAGCAGATGCTACTGAAGGCTACACAAGGTTCCTAAAAATGGACCTTCAACCTAAATCTGCCACTTTTCTCGCTCTAGAACATTGTTTTCAGCAGTTTTTGACGATAATGCGCTCACGAAGTCAGTTCCGAGGTACCCAACAGATCTTTGGGCAGGCTACGGTTTTAGCTGCTCATTGCCAGCTGACCTTTTGAAAGGGATATTGGATATATCAGAAGATAGTGAAGTTCCAGAGGGAAGACCGATCTTAGGAAGAGATGCTAAAACCGTAAGTTACTTCAAAGACTAAGAGCATTGTAATCACTTGAATTCAGCCTCCAAGAGGATTGTGCGCAGTGCGCGAAGAAGATGAGCTGTCCGAGTTTTCTGGGTCATTCAGCAGCAACTCCATGAATTCTGCCAATCGAGTATTTGAAAGGAAGAATCGATCTGGTATGTTTTTTACGAGTGCAAGAAAAGTTTTTGGAGCGCATTCAAAAATCACTCCAAGCTTGTAGCAAGTCATATGGTTCAATGGTTTAGACAATACTAGAAAGAGAATTACAAGTTTGCTTAGTAGGCTCACAATATTCATCATTCACTTGGTTTACTACACCCTATTCAGTTACATGGCGGTAAAGTGGTTATAAAAACAGCAATACAAAAGCCCATCTGACTTGCATGATGAATTAGTCCATTCCGCTGACCATGTTACCGTCTTCTCCAGCTCTCCACGTAGCGGATAAGGCTCATCTGCTTTGATGTATTGGAGCCGAGATCCTCTTCGTGAAAAGTCCAACGTCACTTGGGATATTAGCTAAGCTTGCACGTAATGTCGTTGTGCCTGCCACGCTATATAGCACCAAACTATCAAAGGCTCTGAGCTACCAGCCCACTTAGCTAAGTGTGCAGCCTGGGGCGTTGACGCTAATCTCACTGTTGCCACCTGGAGCTTGTCATCACAACAGGGCACCAGCTAGTATCGTGCTCTTCTTACGGATGTAACAACAATTTAGACTATATATGATGGCAGCATATACAACACGATATTGCTCACAGCCACAGTGGAGCTGCCGCTCACCGCATTAATTGATAATCACAGGCTATCAAGTACCCACCATTTATCCTTATCACAGTCCTTACACTCAATTACAAGGAAAGAGTACAACCAGCCAGATGTCAAAAAACTAAGGGTCAGCAAATCGGAAACTTCCATGAGGCGGTGTCGCCGACATATGTTAGTCGCGAGCGCACCCAGGGTTCGCAGATGTCACCTCGTGAGCGCGGAAGCCAGTCTTCCATGGCACGGTTGGTGTAGACGTGAGTTGGAGAAAGCGCTAATCGATCGATTGGATTGAAGATGGAAGTTGAACCCGACCGCTCACAGGGTGACAGCTGCGAAGACTACTTGACAGGTTTATAAGCTGCAGTATTCATAGCTGTGGGAAGGCAGGGCAGGATGGCGTTTCCGGACCCTTTACAGCGCGGACTTCAGAGACCTCCTTTGAAAGAAATCGCGAATTCGCGACATTCTCGGTCCTCTCTCCGCTTTCGCAAACTTCTCTTCCAACCATTTAATTTTCTCCAAAAAGAATCCTGTAAGCGTAGCTTCTCTCTTTTCTCCAGCTGATATTAGCCAAATATGAACCAGAACAAAAATATGCAATTTTGTTTGCTTGTGCTCCTCAAGAAAAACAAACTAACATGATGTTTCTGTTTCATTCAACCAAAACAAACTAACACGTGGCATTTTCAGCGTTTTCCGCTTCCACTTCGATATTTGACTCATCGCCTATAGTTGCGGAATTCACATGGGACATCCGAGTTTTTGTAGATCCGGCAATGGTACTTGCACAACTGGGTTGCAGCGAATATATGACACAATTACGAGAACAAGAGGTATGCATAAGCCTTATTCGTTTTTCGAGTGGTGGAATTGAGGGAAGGGAAAAAGCAAGCGATAATGTTATTCATTTACTATGCTACAGGAAGACAGTGGGTTATCCGCAGCTTCACTGCGGCCAGAGTAAGGGTTGAAAAGAAAAAGCGTAAGTAAAAACATGGTCGAGAGAATTTGGGCAGCAGTGTAGACTCGACGCGTAAAACTTAGAAGTCGTTAAATATAAGGAACCTTGTAAAAAGGTTTTCCGCCTTTTCTTCTAAGTTTCCGCACTTTTTTAGCTGGGCCTCAGGTTGCGTAAAATAATTGTCATTTGAATTCATTAAAAAAATTATCTACAGCTATACATGGTGCGACAAAAGTCTGAGAGCGTTTGCAGTACTTTGAATTACCAGTCTGGTTATGATTTGGTTCCAGTTATATGCCACATGAAGCTGCGACCATCCTCTACGAAAAACACATTACCTAGCTGAAAATGGTGCCAGAAGCTTTTTTGAAAATTGAAGCTGAGCCGTTTTTGTAAAAGTTCGGATCATGCGTGCACTAAATTTTTGTTTCTAGGTACTATCCGTCTCATTTCATCAAAAGTACTACGCTCCTAGACTTTTGCCGCACACTGTACAATACCGCTCACATTTTTTGAAAAATAGACGCGAATGTATGGACATGTATGGACATGTCCATACATCAGCGTCGCGTGGCCATATCTCGCTTCATAGTGGACGAATTCTGAATCCAAAGCCACCATTCAATTCAGCTCGGCGCGGAGAATCTTCTGATATATTGGAAGTGGGGGTACGATGTTTTCGATATTCCGTTTTCAGTTTTTTCAATTTGTTCTGCGGAGGTCCTTTCGCGAATATGTGAAGCTACGCCTACCCTACATAGAAGACTTTACTAAGTTAATACTGTTCTTGTAGATTATTGTGCGCTAAAAAGTAGGCTCAGACTTCTTTTCAAAGGAGATAGAAGCGTTGGTGAATTTTGGAAAAATCACGCGTTTTTAAATTCTACTCGCCATAACTTCCTTCGGAATAAGTATATATTTCTAATCCGAAGACAGCGCCTTGCTCAGCTGATCAAGACGAATCTTCTTATATACAGCATGTCCTTGATATTTCGATTACAGTATTCTTGAATCTTTCTGAGGACGTCTTTTCGCGAAGGTGTAAAGCAGCGAGCATTGTCTCGAGTACATTCCAGCAAGGATCTGTCGATAGCACTTTTTCTGTAGACTATGTTGTGCTAAATAGTAGCCGCAGGTTTCTTTTCAAAGGAAATAGAACGGCTGGTGAATTGTGGAAAATTCTTGTCGTCCCAAATTCTACTCGCCATAGCTGCAGGATACGAAGCTATCTTGCTAAGCAGATGTGATTTCGAAATCAGCAGGTCGCATAACCTCTACGAGCAAGTTTTCCGATATATTCGGGCATTTCATTTTTTCTCGTTTTACGCTCCGGAAGCTCGCCGATGGATTTTGGTCAAAATGTTGATGCTCTTGAATTGTAAGGAAACTTCGCTTATAGGGGTTTTCGAACACGCTCTTTACGAAAATCGTGGTCTTTGAGGATTACAGGGTCTTTTTGGAGAGATATGGTGAGGTGACTGTAACTGCATCACGAAAGTGCGTAAATTTGGCCGCACATCTCGCGTATCTGTCAGAAACCTTGCCTGCTTGCTTTTCTCAGTCAAAGTTACTAGGAATTGTGCTATCGAATGGTGCATGACTCAGGCTCCAGTCTGCGAAATTCGCCGAGTTACGAGCCTACGAAAACGCGTCCTCATGAATTTTGACCAAAATATAAAGATCGCATATCTCGACGAAATTCCTCCGTGAGCGCTTGTATGACGCTCGTTGCAGATATTATGTTCGCTTCTTCGCACGACTCCCGCTGTACTGAATATGGTGCTTACGTCTGCTTCAGCTGCTCAATTGAATATCAAAGCTATTTCGTGGCTAGAGCTCAAAGCACCAAATCTAACACAATAAGATCCATTAAGGCCCGTATGCACGTACATCCCCGCGGGAGAGGATGTGCGTTTTACTATAGGAATGATCCCCGCTGGTGCTCCCCTCCCCTCCCCCGGCGAACCCCCGGCGCGCAGACAATGTTGGCGAAGGGTTCCCCTGTGGGGAAGGGAAGCGAACCCCCTTATGCACAAGAGGGTATCAAGCGGGGAGATCACTTTGTTTCTAAATTTTCTGTGAGAAACCCTCTATTTTGATTTTTTGACTGCAATTCATCTTCATCTTCTCAATTTCAATAATTTAGCATTGCGAAATGGGCGCATGCCGTGACTGCGCTCGGCGCACCAAAAATGCTTTTTTCTGCTCCAATTACGTTTCTGCTTTCATGGATGCTGCTCACTTTTGCTCATGCTGCCCATTTCAGGGTAAAGATGTTAAACAACAGATGTAGAGGTGTCTCTACAGGGGAATGGACAGAAGACGTTATGGGGGGGGGGGGTGCCGCGCGGACACTCACAGCAGTATTTTAACTCATAAGAAAAGCTGCAAATCGTATCAGCTCTCCATGAAGGCTGCAGCTGTTAGCGATATATCGTCCATTGCACCTGGGGAATGATCCCCAACGGTCATCCCTACTATGCACGAGGGTAACACTGGGGAGGGGATTACTCCTCCGGGGATCTCTACTCAGAGATAGGCAAATCTGCTAATTTCTGCTTTTTTTCGAAGCAGTTTATGTTGGGATGTCAAGGGCAACATAACATATAATATAATAGTTACAATGTGTTCGATCAGCCTACATGGACAAAACTATCTTGTCATATCAAAACTGCGAAAACCTCAGGAATGACCAGAAACTCCTCCAGATGTTCGAAATTGGCAGATATATGCTTGAGTCTCTTCGCGAGAAGCAAAAATAGAAGAGAGAGGTAGATTTGCAAGCTACAAGTCGCTGAGAGAGGAACCCAGCTTTCGAAGAAAATTTTTCGTCGAATTGAACGAAAAGCTTGGTAATGACTTATTGAAACCAGAATATTCGCTTCTCTGGCATGACTTACACCACCGAACCCCTACTCCGTTGCAGGGGATGTCGATCCCCTCCCCTGCGTTTTTGAGTTACATTCGTGCATACGGAGAGGGGAGGGAAGGGATCCCCACTGAGCTTCGTTCGATCGATACCTCCGCAAATGCTAATTTTGAGGCAGCGAAATAATACGCAAACTCTCAGACGTTGGAAACCACGAAGACTACAAGATGCTGCGAAGTACATCGCCACAACATAATTGCAAAAAAATCTTAACGATGCTAAATAGACTCATCCTACTTTAAAAATCAACACTATCACTACTGGCAGCACGTAACGAGTACAACGAGGCTTCAAAACTAATGATACGGAGAACAAAAGAGCGAAGGAGGGAGAAATACAATGGGAGGGGCGGAAGGAGAAGATTGAGAAAGAGACAAAATGCGAGTTCAGTATTTTTGTGCATTTTGTTCCAAAGACCCTAGTACTCAAGAACTGACCAAAAATAAGTTTCGGTGAGTTCTTGTAGTAGCCGTGAGGTAGAAACAACTACCGCTTTCATACCATCCCCGCTGTAAGTGCGGGGGAAGGGATCGCTCCCCTCCTCTCTGTCATAGCGGGGTTCAGTGGAGGGGATCGTTCCCTTGGGGATCCAGCTCCCCTCCCCTCCCCAGCGGGGATGTACGTGCATACGGGCCTAAAAATGTGGAAGGTTTTGATCAGGGTGTTGTACAAGCGCTCAGGGAGAAATTTCGACGAAATATGCGATCTTTACATTTTGAGCAAAATTCATGAGGACGTGTTTTCGTAGAATTTCGCAGACTGGAGCCTGAGTCATGCACCATTCGATAGCACAATTCCTAGTAACTTTGACTGAGAAAAGCAAGCAGGCAAGGTTTCTGACAGATACGCGAGATGTGCGGCCAAATTTACGCACTTTCGTGATGCAGTTACAGTCACCTCACCATATCTCTCCAAAAAGACCCTGTAATCCTCAAAGACCACGATTTTCGTAAAGAGCGTGTTCGAAAACCCCTATAAGCGAAGTTTCCTTACAATTCAAGAGCATCAACATTTTGACCAAAATCCATCGGCGAGCTTCCGGAGCGTAAAACGAGAAAAAATGAAATGCCCGAATATATCGGAAAACTTGCTCGTAGAGGTTATGCGACCTGCTGATTTCGAAATCACATCTGCTTAGCAAGATAGCTTCGTATCCTGCAGCTATGGCGAGTAGAATTTGGGACGACAAGAATTTTCCACAATTCACCAGCCGTTCTATTTCCTTTGAAAAGAAACCTGCGGCTACTATTTAGCACAACATAGTCTACAGAAAAAGTGCTATCGACAGATCCTTGCTGGAATGTACTCGAGACAATGCTCGCTGCTTTACACCTTCGCGAAAAGACGTCCTCAGAAAGATTCAAGAATACTGTAATCGAAATATCAAGGACATGCTGTATATAAGAAGATTCGTCTTGATCAGCTGAGCAAGGCGCTGTCTTCGGATTAGAAATATATACTTATTCCGAAGGAAGTTATGGCGAGTAGAATTTAAAAACGCGTGATTTTTCCAAAATTCACCAACGCTTCTATCTCCTTTGAAAAGAAGTCTGAGCCTACTTTTTAGCGCACAATAATCTACAAGAACAGTATTAACTTAGTAAAGTCTTCTATGTAGGGTAGGCGTAGCTTCACATATTCGCGAAAGGACCTCCGCAGAACAAATTGAAAAAACTGAAAACGGAATATCGAAAACATCGTACCCCCACTTCCAATATATCAGAAGATTCTCCGCGCCGAGCTGAATCGAATGGTGGCTTTGGATTCAGAATTCGTCCACTATGAAGCGAGATATGGCCACGCGACGCTGATGTATGGACATGTATGGACATGTACGGACATGTCCATACATGTATGGACATGTCCGTATATGTCCATACATGTCCATACATTCGCGTCTATTTTTCAAAAAATGTGAGCGGTATTGTACAGTCCGTGTCAAACTTGTGCTCCTTTTTGCACCAGGCAAATCGCAACCCACAGTCGCGCGCAGCATTCGCCTACTTGTAGCTTGCGCATTCAAGACATGCCTCATCGATTGCGCCGCGTTAGGCACTTGCGGTGCGGACGCGTAGCTGCAACGGAAAAGAAAGCACTTTGGTGACATCAATCGTACATATCAAAGTAATCAGCACGATGCTGACTACGTACTTACACATACAGTTCTGACAAGTGGAGATGACGAATAAAGACTGCTAGAAAGCGATAAAAGTAAGAGCTCATATAAATTTATTTTTAATCCATGCTCTCCAAAAAAATTTAAAAAATTCGTCTGAGCTCATCGGATGACTTAAACTTTTCATTCGCCTCTTCTTCAATGAATTATAGCGAGAAAAAAAAACTAAAGGAAAAGCATGAAAGAGCCGCCAAAACACTTGCAAAAGCTTCAAATGTGGAATTAGGGCATGCCATAATCTGATCGACATAGTCACTACAACCAGCTCATCAAGTCTCTTGAGATAGAACGAATACCGCAGCAGACGCTGAAACCGACCACTATTGACCCTTTCGCACTTGGTTCGTACAACGTGCGAGGACCCGTTGCGTAAGCGAGTCCTAACAGTGGTATTCGTATCTCCACACGCCTACTTATCAGAGCGACTGTTTTGCAACAAAGTGCAATGATTTTTTGCACAATTTCGTAGCTTGCTCTTGCATTTGGAAACACTAATAAGGACACAACAATGCTTTGGTGATTATGTGCGCATGGTTGTTTTGCTTCCGCTATTTATCCTTATTTCAATGTGATACATTGTTCTTCGAAGATGTGCCGAGAAGTTGAAAACTGAAATAACTTTGGAAGATACTTCTAGGACATTTGACTAGCTGAGCAAAATTATATTTTTGCTACAGATCGACATGCACGCTTTCCTTCTTTTGGACGAGCAAAACCTTAAGGATATCGGCGTGTCCACGATTGGTGCTCGTAAAAAGATTCATCATGCTATAATCAGTGAGTTTGAGCATACACTTTTTACGGTCACTTCTGCTAAGTTACAAGGGAGGTTCACTTATTCGAAGTGGCGATTCGGAAGGAGATCTATACCAGTGGATAGAGCTCAAGAAGCTGATTTCAGATATACCTTCCATATCTGCGATGCGTCGTTCTGAATAAAGTTATGAGCTTTTCTAAAGCTAAGCTTTCGTGCATTTTGAGTCGCAAAATCATGGTAATCGCTATACAAAAGTGTGCAAGGCTTAAGCAAACCACCTAATAAGCATTTTAGGTCTATTTCGAGTTCATCCGAACGCTTTCGAGTGTTTTTCGACCATGTTGTTCATCCACAGGTCGTCACTTCATTCCTAGATCACACTTCCTTTATGTATACAAAGAAGCCCCATAACCTCCATTTAGAAAACGCGTCGCGTCGGAAACTTTTTGGAGGCTACCAGTGGATAGAACGTAAAACGACGATCTCATATGTATCTTCAATATCTGCGACGCTTTCTTGTAGGTGGAGGTTATGGGCTTTTTTGCATATATAATGGAAGTATGATATAGGTAGGAAATGACGGCCTGTGAACAAACAACATGGTCGGAAAGCATTCGAAAACGTTCAACTCGAATCAGACCTATAATGCTTACTAGGTGGTTTGCTTAAGCCTGCACACTTTTGTGTAGCGATTATCATGATTTTGCGACTCAAAATGCACGAAAATTTGGCTTTAGAAAAGCTCATAACTTTTTTCAGAACAACGCATCGCAGATATAGAAGGTATGTCTGAGATCAGCTTTTTAAGCTCTATCTACTGGTATAGATCTCCCGAATCGCCATTTCGACTGAGTGAACTTCCCTTATGTTAGTGCCGCTAATTGCATGTACCTTTCAATTTCCCAAAATTACAGAGCTTCGCGAATCAGCACGCATGCACGGTTATGCCATTTAAGCGCAAGGCAACTTTTTCCCATTGCTTCACTAGCGCCTGTTTTCTCTCATACAATGTACATAAGTATGTTCCTTTTTTGTTTTCTCCTGTGGTTCCTGTCGTCTAGTTGAGTTACGAGTTAACAGAGTAAGTCATGACTGTAAGGTGCTTGATTCGTTTATTCTTGCCATATATTGCATTTTCAAGGTACACTAAGTTATGCATTATAAATCATTACGAGTTCTCTTTGCAGTTGATGACATTTTACAGTGGCGGTAATGCAAAGAAAAGCTTAAATCAGTTGGTGTCACTTGTGTGGTTTATCAGAAATTGGTAAAAATATGAAATTTCTTCGTCATGGTATCCTAGTCAATGAAAGTAGAAAGTCTCTCGGCCGCCGAAGAACACCCACCATGGTTTTTGGTTCCCTAGATGGCAGATCGCCAACAGCTGATACGTCGTACCTTTGGATGAGATTGCCAATGATCTAAAAATCGGCCATGTTCACTCAATCGCCTTTTCGGGGTTTTGAAATAATGGTTGCTTGCTGGTTACTTTTGACTATTGAGGAACAAGCGAAAAGAGTTCACTCGCCAAGTATAACTCAGCTCTTGCCAGCGATTCTCCAAGACATGCGCGTTTGCCGATTCCAAAAGGAATGACGTTCTGATCGGTACGATTGGTTTTCAGATATCTCGAAGGGTCGAACTAAAACCCCCTCTTCAATATTTATCAGATGCTTTATGGAAAAAACTTACATTGGCGGAATTCTCAAAAACCTCGAAATCTGAAAGTATTAGGGACAGCTGAGCTGTAATTACTGTGCCCGCCGTGACAGGAAAACCGCCAACAAGGGCATCTTTTGCCGCACGTCGCCATAGATTCAGGTTTAGGATAGATGCAAGCCGCTGAATCTCCTGAGTTTGTCGTGTTTATAGCTAGAAGTGGAAAGTAAAGAAGGAAGTAAATTATGCCGTAATGGTAGCAAGGAGATACGGCGTTGAGGGACGGTCAGTCAGTGACAGCGCTCGATTATTACCAGTGACTTGCTTTATCTCTGCGCGTATCTTGTCCATCACCTGCAACCAAAAAATTTGTTTTTGAGTCAGAAGCGCATCCAATATGTGTTGGAAGGAATTGCAGGTGCTTTACGCGTCGTTAATGGCAAGTGGTTCAGAAACATAACGCCCAATTTTCAAAAGACTGCCGAGATTATAAGGTCAACGGGCTGTAATAATCAAAGTGGGCGGGTGTCGTAGGCTACTTTTCGTTATCGATCGAAATCGATTTTACCGATTCTTTGCAAGTAGGAGCTACGGGGGCTGAGAGTTGGCACAGGGGTAAATGAGCATGCTGATTACGAATATACTATTGAATGTACTATTGACAGGGTCCGTCGGAGACGGGAGCTAGTAATATCTATAATAATTCTCTTTTTCTTCAAAGGGAGTTGAATAGGATAGGAGGTGGTGCTCTATGTATTATATTGGCGAAAATCTTCATAGGTTTCTTCATACTACATCGCGGATGCGACTTGCTGCGGCGCACGCGCAGGGCGCAGCAGCCTGCTGCAGCGCGCTGAGTCCTTCGGCGTGCGCCGCAGGTAGGAGAATGAACTCCGCTAGTCCCAGCCGCCTCCACGGACTACTGGTCCTGCAATGGCATGCAGCAATATTGCAAAAGGACCGGTTGCCAGCGAAGGCGAACTCAAACTGGCCAAGTTCGTTCCTCACCCGATGCGCCGCTGCAGTCGCAGTGAAAATATACGCTCATTGCAGCACAGCTTTGCTGGTTATGGATGCACCTCTATATTTGCTGCACGCTCTCAGGTTCGTGTTCTCCGAGAGTGTTCCTTCACAGCGAGCAAGTGTATATTTTCACTGCGACTGCAGCGGCGCAAGCCGCGGAACGCGGCGCGCTGCGGCAGGCTGCTGCGTCCTGCCGTCCGCGGCGTTGTATGAAGGAACACTACTATTATGGCCAGAGCTCGGCATGTGATGGCTTTCAGCTTTTTTGGAAACGAAATTTCCTTATGACTTCAGACAGCCATTAAGGTGCCCTTAAAGTATTATAAGGTAAGAAGGCTGAATAAAACATCAGAATTGTATTTACAACAGAAGCATCAATGTAAAAGAAACAATTTGGAAAAAAGATCTCAGGTGACCATCGTCATAAAAAAACATCTACAGCATTGACACTCTTCTTCCCTCTACTTGCGACGTATATAGAAAAGCAAAATGACTACAATCTTTATATAGTCGTACCCAGTAGACACGCAATGGACAAATTCGAATTCAAACTAAAGCACACCGGTTGCGGCAGAGCGCGGCACGGTCAAATTCACTTCGAATTCATGCAGTATTTTTTTGCATTTTCTTGTCGTTGCATGGTGATCTTTTGTTTCAGTGGCGTAATTAATCAGAATCGACGAGTGTGTTGTTGCTTAGCGATATTGCATGCTACCATGCTCTTTCTATTGCTCTATTTTCAGGTAAGCTCGGAAAAACGGTGCACATAGGGAGGTTGACATGAAGTTCATTAAAGTTGCACATCAAGACATTTACCGAGAAAAGATTTCACCAGCAAGTTTTCAGTCTTAGTCTTTTTTCCACGCAAAACTGAAGAAGAGTTAAAGGAACAAGCATAGCAGCACAAAATATCGCTTAAAAGCAACAGAATCTTCATCACGCCTAAGTTCTGTAAAGAAGCTTTAAAACTCCATCAGCCCCGCCCACTTCCATCGAGTGGGCGTTATTGGTGGAAGTTTGGAGCTTCTTTACAGAACTTAGCGCATGATTTGGAGGGTGAGGTTGGGGCCACGGTTACTTGGGAGGCCTACTACCTAACAGTAACAAAACCTGACAAGGGAAGTGTCAGAATTCGCAGTGGACTTTTGACATGGGATGGGTACCATCTTAAGCAGCTTGAAATGCTGATTCCAAAACAAACTCTCTTAGCTGCAGAGCCGATCTGGGTCGCGAGTTATGGACATTTTAAACATTAAATTTTACATTGTTTGAAGTACTCTGTGATCACAAAAACCTTTCAAATGCTTGTTTAAGCATCACAGTATGACTTTGATGAAGGCATAGAATTACGCTAAACATTGACGGACTGTTTCATCTATGTTTGAGCTCAAAAAAATGTTCGCTTTAATTTTTGGCTATTCTCAGCGTTGTAAATTTCCCGCAAATTACATTCAATAACTCTCGTCCTAGATTAGTTCTGCAGCTAAGAAAGGCTGTTTTGGAATCAGCATTTCAAGCTGCTTCAGATGATACCCATTTCATGTCAAAAGGCCACTGCGAGTTCTGACACTTCCCTTGTGAGAGGGGTCCATTCTGCCGATCAACTTTTTTTTAAAAGCCAGTTAACTTGAAAAACAGCATGAAACGTGGAATAACAGTAAAAAAATCAGTGTGGGTTTGAACTAAGCGCTGAAGATGCCGCAACCGGCGTGCTCTAGTTAGAATTCGAATTCGTTCATTAGATTTCTAGCGGGGAAAAATGACTATATCACACCTAGCGTCTCTAAACATTCTCTCAGAAGTGGGTTGGGATCAAGCGACGAGAGTAATTCACTCGTTAACTTGACAATGGTGTGGAAACCACCAAATGCAAGAACAGGTACTAGAACAGATATGTTTCGAAAATTTCTCTACAAATTATGGTTGGGTGTATACATGGTATGTAAATACAAATTTGATGTTATATGAACAACTTGTAGTAAGGAAGGGATTAGCGTATTTTGGCATAAACCTGATTTTTGCGTGCTCTTGTGTTGCTCTTTGGCCCAAAACGAGGCCGAGTTTGACTCCAGTAGATTCGCGTAGGCTCTGGACTTCACTTATACAAAAATACTAGATGGCAAACCCGGCTCCGCCCGGGGCCAAACTTTGCACACATACACTTCGGTGATCAGCATGTTCGATTACCCCCATGTGCAAAATCCCAGCCCCCTAGCTCAAATTTTGCAAAAAATCGATAAAATCGATATCGATCGATAACGAAAAGTAGCCTATGACACGCTCCCTGCCCCGAAGTATATGTGTGCCAAGTTTGGTCCCGATCGGTTCAGAAATAAAAATTTCTATTCCGCACATACGTACAGACAGACAGACATACATACATACAGACAGACATTCAGCTTTATATATAAGATATAATACGCCAAAAGTCATACTCGAATAATTACACATTCTTGTGGCAGCAATAAGAGATTTTGGTTTGAAAAAGAGGTATCCTGCAGTCAAATAGCACATCTCCATAAAAGTAGGTATATAATTGATCATTCATAAAATATCGCCACAATTCACAAACGTCGAATTTTGTAGAAACTGAGTGTAAATACCAGCGGTGTGCTCACATGCACGGGTCAATAATGTGTGGAGTTCAATGCTAGAAATTCTTTGATTAAAAAAAAACTCTCCTGGTCACTCCACTAACCTACAGCCTCAGTCGCTGGTTAATGTTACCCCTGCTCCGAGAAGACCCTCGAAGCGCGCGCTTGGACGGCTATGCTTACCTGTTCTTCGCGGGACCGTACGACAGTTCCCGCATTGTGCATGCTATCGAGAGCAAAAATTACAGGCGGCAGGGTTCCCGTGCCAGGGACCCCCTAATTCCACTGAAATCCTCGTCCGAGCTGCCTTTATCAATTGGGTAAACGCTCCAGATACAGTCTTTTTGCCCGGTTTAAAGCGCACATTCAGTTTCTATGTGTCGAAAAGGCCTGAAACATGCGGCAAGGTGAGAATGCTGTTCTTGACCCACCTGCACAAATTTTTGCTTAAATAGACGCTCACAACTCTTCGTGCACGATTCGAGTCCAGCCTTTTATGCTTTCCCAATTTCATAGAAATTCCACCACCAGGCCACTCCTACTAACCATCCTTACCTTATTAGAGACGACTCGTTCAGCGGTAGGTCCTATCCTCTTATCCCACCACGAGATTTGCAAAGAATTTTTGGCTATTACTTGTAGCAATTCAATTCTGTTTTTTTTATAACCAAAATGAGTTTTTCTGAAAGAGTACTGCAGTTGCCTTAGTGTGTTTACCTAAAAATTCCTTCCACGCAGATTTACTATCTATGCATACCAATCAAACTTAAAGGTAGTGTCTCGGCAGAATTTCGTTTTCCATTCTTCACCTTTTCAAAGCCTTCTCGCCATGAGAAATCCATATCTGACTTTTCAGCGCAAAAGAGTGGCGGAAATGAGCTTTATCCCAAGCTTTTCAGGTCAGCATTCAGTGAAAATACGCCGGAAATCTTCAGCGCCTCGCCTCCCTCGTTTCGGGTCCCACCCACTTACCGTATTCTCCACTGAATGCAGACCTGAAAAGCTTCGAAGCTCATTTTCGCCATTTTCATGTATGGAAACGTCCAGATATGCTTCATGGCGAAAAGGCTCTGAAAAGGTGAAAAACTGGAAAACGAAATTCTGCCGAGACGCTGCCTTCGAATCGGCTGAAGCACTTTATAGCTACCACGATTCTTTGTTTACTTACATATCTATTTATGTTTATAACGGATACGCACCTTTGGATGATTGATAAGATTGATGAGACCAGACAGTATAGTTGTGGTCGTTGTTTCTTGCCCAGCGATCCACAAATCGAGCAGATTCACAAGCAAAGCTTCTTCTCTGGAAAATAGCAAGCTATCTTAGCATATGGAATGGGATGGACTAGACTGAACGTACGTGAATGACGTTTCTTTATTTTCTTTGGCTTCTTCTGCCATTTTAATGAAATACGCATCAACATAATCGCTGGCCTCATTTTCGAGAACATGTCTGCCTTCTTTGATGTCTTTCTTTCTAAAATTTAACTTTGTTACCAATACCATATTAGAAGAGAAGTAGCTCACCGCTGATTTATTTGCTGCCGCAGATAATCTTTGAGTTTATAGAATGGTGCAAGCATGTCGGCGTATCTCTTCCCAATAAAAGGAAGATATAGCATAGATTTGTGAATGAACACATCCAAGAATGATAATCTGTTAAGTGTCTCGTCCACGCCGCGTTTCAAAGAGAAAAAATGATCACTAGACTGCAAACATATGAGTCTTAGTATGGACATCTACAGTGGCAGACAACTAACCGTATGAAACCTTTCGGAGAACAAAATTCTATTGATAATACTTCCAACAAGGACTTCGACCAGAGTTGAAGGATCAACGACGTGGCTGCCCGTCTTTCTGATTTGCTGATCAACTTCATCAAGTCTGAAAAGGGACTACCTTTCTATTGGGTTAGTGCAGAAATAATGAGCGTTTTGCGAGTTCCCATGAAGTGCTATAACTCTCCAAAAATTCCACATATTCCAACGAAATAGAGATCATTGGTGGCAGCGAACTTTGGCTAGAACCTTGTTTCAACAAATACCAGATAGTGCATGAAAAGAGCTTCTTAATGGTATGCTAAATCATTTCCAAAGAATAAAGTTTGATAGGAAAACGTTGTCCAGAAACAAGGCTTGGGAAAACTCCCATTATTTTTGCACTAACCCAATTCAACCTCTTAACAAACTTCATAAGATCAAGTCTCACTTCAGACTGAACTCTTCCATGATTTTCTCCTCAATGATATTTTTTCCAAAACCGAAATTCCTTAATGTATGCAGCGAAAATCGTCTGTGGTCCAGCCAATGTTTCCCATTAGAGACAATGATCCCCAATCCATCTAAATGGTGAACCGATTGGAAATGAAAAAGTAGAACTGAGGCAATTCCCTTACTTCTGGGAAGAGAAAGTAGAAGCGGAACCCATCTATTGGCGTAATTGTTGCCATGCTTGATCATGGCATCTTGGGCAATTGTGAGGTCAGCGATGTGCACTGTTGGCAATGGGCCAAACCATACCGTGAATACTGGTCCATACTTCTACAAAAACAATGGTGAAGACTGCAAGAACTTTTTAAAATCTTACAAAAAGTCTTTGAAAAAAATTTTGCCGGAAAAATATTTTTGGTCGTTTCTCTCCATCTCTTCGCCTATAGATAGCAAAGTGTTAGTTGACGACTGCAAAAATTTGATCTAAAACTATGGGATTTGATTTGGGAGATTAACAAGCTTCTGAGTAAATTTTCTTCCCAATAAGGTGCACTATCATCTTCTTACGATATGTTATTCGTAAAAAAGAATGCTATGCAACAAAGGGTTTTTATATATCTGGCCTGCATCACTTTCTTTGTAAATTTGCTTGCCCCTTTAGAATCTCTCTTTTGTGAGTTTTTGAAAGTTAAAACAAAGTCAATCCCCGCTCAAATTCTCAACCACACCTAAATGTACCAAGCTTTTATGCTTACCTTCTTTAGGAACTGTAGAGCAGGTACAATGCCACCATGTAGATATGTCAGGTAAGCAAGATACGGTATATTTCCAAACAAAGGGAGAGGAAAGGGGCCTATAAAAAATCGCAGGAGCAGTATCACAAGAGGACTCAACGCTTGCATACCTGGAGGGAGTTTTCTTCTCTTAAAGATTATTCTTACAAAGACTAATGCAGCTATTGCCAATATAATTGAAAGTACTAGCATTCTGAAATATACCAAATAATCAAAGATCAATGCAGCAGAAAATGCTTGAAAAACAGCTGCTGCTAGCAAAAAAAAAACGGCATTATCGCTTATCGCCATTACTGCTAGCATAAGATATGGGTGTTGACCATAACAAAGATTGATCTTGAGAGCACAACCAGTAGGCATTGTTTCATACTACATATTTTCGCATTTCGAAGTGAGCCTTTACCTCTAGTCATCTGTATAAAAAGAGCCATCCCTCCGATAACACAAAAACATTTTGAAAGAAGTTTAGTTTCAGTAGCGGCTCAAAAGAATCACGAAATTGGGGCTGGAATTCTGAAGTCCAGTACCGAAGTCTATGTCTTTGTTCGATAAGAGCAGATGTGATTAGTTTTGATAATCTGATGATAGTAAAGATACAGCAATATATTGAGATCGTATAGAATTCTCTACTGAACTCGTTGGATATAAGTCTGAAGCTCGTTTGAATCTCACGATTTATGATAATCAGGCTCTCTTGATTGCAAACTTTCATCTTTTCCTATCTGTCAAATATAGGGTGTCCCAAAAAGATGGGCACAGTTTAAATAACTCTCTTGCTTTTATGTCTTTTGCCGAGCAGGTACCATTCTGTAGAGCGATTCAACTTACATCTACAGTATGCACCAAATTGAAAGTCGCTCTTAATTACTGTAGGATTACAGTATGTCAGCATACAAAGTCTGTGGAAGAGGCCTTTTAATGAAAATTTCAAAAAAAAATTTGAAAATTTATGCAGCAAGGTTCACATGTGTGCTGATTTCACTACATAACTTTCCACTAGTTTTTCGAGCTTTCTTGATAGAGTATTCACATTTTTGACGAATACTGGAAAAACAGTTGTTACCCTAAATCTGAAGCTTATGAAAGAAGCACTATACTGAGTCGCATTTTCATTTTTAGAATCAACGACTTCGATTAACCCAGTTCAAAGTTTCTGGCTTGTTTTGCCTTTTTCTGAGGCGAAATAGCGCTTTCAGTGGATTAAAATCCTCCCCAAAGTTCCTACTGTATCCCTACAGTAATGAAGAGGAGTGATTCGCTCCACATTGTAAATCTAAACTAAACCTCGCTTTAAAAAATGGTACCTCAAGCTCGGCAGAAAACATGAAAGAAAGCAAGAGAGTTATTAACGATCAAACAGTGTGCACATCTTTTTGAAACACCCTGTATAAATGGCATTCTTTTGCCATTCCGAAGTAAGGCGCCTAGAAAATCTGCAATCCTATTTTACTGATCAAGGTTTTATTATTATTCATTAAATGTTTGAACACATAGATTTTAAAAATAAGTGACAGAGGAAGCGTACTTATTGAGGCAGCACATCTTGCATCATGTGCAGCTGAGGTTCGTGCACTGGCATTGCATCATCGAAATAGACTTGGCATAGTGCCAAAGAGGAAGGCTGGGCTCCTCCATAAAGGATTTTACATGAGATTGTAATCCCAGAATTTGTCTTTTTTTCAATAATGTGTGATGCGACAATTATACATAATCAGCAATATCTTTCTTCTTTTTTTTGTTTTCTTCTCCTTTTGTTCCATAGATTTCGAATTTCCTACACTCTCCTACAACGCCATTGTCCTAGCTAGTGACAATTGGATATTTTTTGAAAAATTTTCACTCCAAAAGAAAGACTCAAATGAGGATGTGTGCAACCGCATATCAGTAACCGTAAACCCTTGAAGAGTTTGAATTTCACCTTTTCTAAACGGGATTGCTATTTTTGTTCTTTAGACTTACACATTTTAAGATGACAATAATGCCAAAACTTGAGATAAAAACATCATTTTTAGAGCTTCAAGTTTAGAAGGCTGAAAGATTAAAAAGTTTATTTCATCGGCCTTCACAGCCTCGGAAACAGCTCGGGACGTTAAAAAATGAGTCAGGCCCCAAGATACATTGTAGAGAACGAAGCACCTTCCCGTATGAACTTTCTGCGCTAACCAACAATTTGTTTTCAAAAACATTTTTTGTGTCACTGCTTCTGCCTAGGATTCCATACTGTGGTTTACCGCGGAAGAGAAACTCAACATTTTTTTTATAAATCTGTTGTACAGTATCATTATTCTCTGGTCACGCAATAAATATACATATTTATATTTATATTCATGAAAGACAAAAATTTACAAATATAGTAAAGCCGTAATTAGTACACCAACAACTCCTAAAAGAACAATACAAATCAACGTCCATAATAGCTGCGCAACCCCGCCGCAGCACATTTCGGCGCAAACTGAAGGCTTTTTCGGGGGTTTCAGCATTTTTGGCGGGAGCGGTGGCAAAACTGGAGGTCCGAGTGGGATGTAGAGAGGGGGTGCTTGCGGGGCTGGCAGTGGATACCAGACTGGTAGTGTGTAGTCGGGCATTTGCATCTCAGCCGCCAGACGTGGGTCCATCAACGACATGGTCCGTGGATCGTAGACTAGAAGACCGCCGGCCATTGACGACGACCGTGAGATGCTGCGAGTGCCATGGCCTCTGAAATGAATAGGGCATGAACCCGTAGCAGTTCAAACTTTGATCTTTTCTCCCCGAAAGTCTTCTTTCCAAACCGGGGAATACAACCTCATTAGAATAAATAGGGACAAAACTAAGATCTTATGAGGGAGATAGTTGAATCATGTCGATTTCCGCAGTTGATAACGATCCGTCAGCTGAAAAACGAGACTTGAACTAGGTCGCAAATCGCTGGTTTCTACGGTTATGAGTCTCTTAAGTGAAACTAAGCTTGAATTGATTCATTAATTTATGGCTAGGATGAGTCACCGCAGCTCCAGACAGCTAGCGTGTATAACTTATCCTATTTTATGGGCTCGTATAAGGCACTAGTTTGAAGTCGAAAGTTATTTTATCGCATACAAAGTGCTCCTAAACGAACAGGAAAGCGGTGAAAGTCTCAAGACTTTCCATGACCTCAATGTGATTTCAAAAGATGATCTTTCTGACAACAGGACATTGACGGAAAAACGGTGGCCTGCGTAGATTTCTTTGAAAATGGTTTGACCCTGACTGAGCGCAGAAATGATATGAAATGCTAATGCCACATTGTTTATTGATCAATACTTAAGGGAGGAATTTTCTACCCTCCTTGTCTCCTATTTATGAAAGTGTCAATAAAACAGGAGTGATCTATATGTTGAGATAATAATAAAAATCAAATAAAAAAAATATAATTTTTTGTTAGCCCCCTTTGCCACAATCTCGATGTAATTATAAACTTTCTTTCAAACAAAAATATTCAAAAACGTAGACAAAAACTAATCGGAAAAGTGAAACCAGACGAAAGCTTTTTTGATAGAAAGCACATTGGTCTTTTTGCTCTTATTTTTGACAAATAATAATACTTATAATTAGTTTGGATCTAGAATCAGGCGAGATTCAGATTCTCTAGAATTACGTCCTGTTCCAGAATTTCGTTCGGAGTTGCTGCTAAACTTGGTAATTGAATACAAAATAAAATTAAGTGCAATTTCGGATGTATGAGTTATACAACTGAAGGTATTCAAACTACTGACAATGTAGTTTTTTCCCTTTTTTTTTCAAATTCTGGACACGAAAGAATAGTGCTAGTTACTTATGAACTTCTAGAGTTCATAATGTACTTAACTAGGACGCTCTCAGAATTTCTGAGACATGAAAAGATTTTTTCTTCAAATTTTCGGGTTTGGCATCTTGTACAGCTTCTGCGCTTTCAATTCAGCTGCACCTTGTAGAATTGTTAAGATAGCTTACGAAGTACTTGAAAAAAGTGGGAAATTTGCCTTCGGAGTTTCAGAAAGTTTTTATTACCAATGCAAGGATTTTAATTAGAGCAAAAAATAAAGTGGAAAGAACTAGAAACATTGAATGAAAAAGTGAAAACAGTGAAAACTGAGTGTCATCACAAAACTATTGCGTACTACGTACCTGAGCATTTTGTCCTCGGAAATGAGCATTTCTTTTGAGTTTGACGAGACGACACTGTTCGCGTCGGTCATGGCGCTCAGACACCAAAACGAAAGGACAAAACAGCTCTTGACCGTTATGTATGAGTGAGTGTGAATGTGTTCTTTGTAGCGTAACGCCCGTATTACGGTCAAAAACTCACTTCATCTCCAAAAATTGCCTAAGAAAGTGCAGCGCGATCTCCGGTTACGTCACTCTTTGACGGATAGGTGTTAAACAAATTCGCGTAAGATTTTTCAGCTTATCCCAACTAGGATTTCTTTCGCATTCCCCAACGTGTTTCAGAGCCACCCAGGGTAGAACTGTTTGAGCGTCTCCTTTGCCGACCTCATTGAACGTACTATGAGCAAACATGAGGCTAGTGTTTGACAAATATTGGCAAGGAACGAACTTTTAGAAGCTGCGATTCTGACCTAGGATGTGTGAAAATCAGTTTTTCACTCATTCTAACCGAAAAAAATGGCTGTGTTTTCACCAGTTTCACAGGGCATTCGAAAAAATTCTTATTAGCGAAAACGAGAGGCGGAAACTTAGCAGCTTTTAGTGTTTGAGATATAAGAAAATTCGAATATCTCGAGTATCAAAAAATTTTTAGCCAAGTTCTGCCAAATGTGCTGAAGGTTTGACCAAATCCAAAAGAAATCTTCCGCTGCTCTTTTTACCATAAAGCGAGAAATTATCCGCATTTTTGGAGAAATTTATCACTAATACGCGCTGCGGTCAGGCAACTGTGAAGGGAAGAAATTTGAAACTATAAGCAGTAATCTTTTCTGTAAAACATTTGTAAAGTAGAATAGGAAGAGTTTTGAAAGAGAGATGGGGAAGAGTGGAAAGGATTCAATGTGGAAGAGGAGATAAAAAATAACTTTCTCTGCGAATCCGTTGCTTGGATATATCTCACCAAATAGTTCATGTTACCAAGCATCAGCTTAATGTTAAATTGAAAGAAGTACTTGCCTTTTCTTCTTATTTTTTCCGGAATTTCAACAAAAATGGAAAACAAATGAAAATCACAGCTACAGCATCAACAGCATTCATAACGAAATGAAAATCAAACTACTCAGAAACTGCCTACCTTACTCGGTAAGTTTGATAAGAGTAATAATCTTGATAAGGGCGGTAATACATCTTTCCAGCAGCCCAAATATATGCTTGGCTAGTTGTTGATGATCAGGATGTTAAAGAAGAAATCAGCAGGTTATGGAAAGCACATCTTACATGTTATAAGCCGAAAGATAGCTGTTATGAGCATGGCAACGACTATCTGCCCGCCCTGAATGTGTACAGAAATCCTGCAGTGCCAGACCGGTATCACAGCCATCATAAAACTGATGCACTCCCATGCTATTAGCAATTTTTTGCTCGACTCCCCCGGCGCCTTTGTATTCCGCTCTCTAAGTAGGCCAGTGATAGAAAGTGTATATTTCTTATACATTGTCATCTTGCATATAGTAGTAGCTGCGTACCACGGCACTAACCAAATGTTCATCTCAGGCCCCACCTCGATTTAGGGAACAATTCTCACTCCAGCTTCAAGACTTTTTACATCTTCCTACTACTTTGAACCTGCACTTATTCAAGACAACTTTCAACTAAATGACTTTCCCTTTTGATTCAACTGGCTTGGCGGCTGGAAGGTGGGGCTTCGTAACCTATTTAAGGCTAGGTAATGATCAAGAAGAACGCCCGCGGGAGAGAGGCAGACTGCGTCGCGGGTGCGAATGTCCTTAAATTAGATCAGAAAGGCCCGCCTTCAAGCCGCCAAGCCAGTTGAAACAAAGATTATATATGTATCATACTGGATGTGCAGCATATAAACCATTTCTCCCTACCCCTAAAAATATAAATGCTTTCTTGGCCCTCCTCTCGAACTCGGGTATCTAATGCTGCGTTACTAAATCGTATCATGTTGGGTCCATTATAATAAGGATATTCCTGGCTTGACTAAATGGGCTGCTTGAAGTTTAGAGCTATGATCTTAAAGTATTACAGATAATTCTAACAATCGAAACATCAAAATGTAAAGATTAACTGTAAGGCAATTTGCAAAAGGTAAATGGAGAGGAAATTTTCGAAGAAAATTTACGTCAATTCTTTTATTCCTACGGAGAATGCAAATGGCAAATTTCAAATATCCTAAACGCGTCAAGGCGCGAGCAATTTTATTTCCAAAATCGACCTAAACACGCCAGAGGACCTCGCAATCTCGCAACTGTAGGGCACTATAGCATGCTGTATATTGCTCAACAGAATCGTGCGGCATAAAAATCGTTTTCCGAAATACAGTGAAGCGGCTGAGCAGCTAGCTAGAAAAATCGAAAAAGGTGCGCCTTGTGGGGTAACTTAGCTACTACGATTTTTATTCGTTGAGCTTTGGAATGCAGTGAGAATACGGTAAAACAGTGCAGATTTCCAAATCTTGATTTAGTGGCACTTCTAATAAAAGGTATTATTGAGCATGGAATCGTATTCTATTAGCATGGTTAAAAAATAATTTCGGTTTGACTTACAACTTCGAAGCTCTACAATAATGCAAGTAACTGTTATTTAGCCATGATCTTTTGGGAATGGTAGCTTAAAACTTCTACTTAACATGCTCGTTATATAGAATTTTCTATCGTGACAAAAAACAGCTACGACCTTACTTACCTAATTTCTTTATAATCACTATTTCAAATTTCAACGTTTCGTTTTGAAGATGTAATAAGTGACAGCTTACTTTATCTGTGATATTCCTACGTCAAAACAAAATTATGTTTTAGCCAGCCTAACAGATACACTTTGAAACGATAAGGGAGATAGATTTTCGTCACTCAACAGCAGAGTATCATATTTTATCGTTGCGTCATAGAGATGCCTGAGCAAAACGCAATAAGCAGCTTTGAGGAACAATTAAGTATGAAGGAAAGCATAAGAATTAAGTAATAAAATGTATGTTTCGGTTTCACTGACCTTGACATAGTGGACACGGTACGCGGATGAAACTCAGACATCGATGCATGTGGAGTTGAATTGCATTTGTCGTCGAGATGATGGTGCATCAGTGGCGGTGGCGGCAATGGCGGCGGTGGACTCCATTTTGCCAGTGGCTAGAATTAAACGCCATCATTGAAAATTTGACTAATTTCCAAGCTTCTTCAATCTCGTGGCTTTTGTGCTCTCAGCCATCCTAACGAGAGGACCGGAACGCGGAAGGGAGGAGTGGGAATAGAAGTGTTTTATACTTCTGGGAGTTCCATTTTTTAGAAGCAACAGGCTGGGTCAATCATCTTCGTCATCAAAAACGCTTCTTCAATCCAACCCTTTCTAAAACACTTCTTTTTGCTTTCAGTAATTGATACCATTCCGAAATAGCAACTATGAAACACCAAGATTTTAGACTGTTTTAGAAATCGTTCATCATAGCGACAGAAGAAGATCTTATGTGCTATCTGGTAATACGTCAAATAAAGTGAATCTCAGACTTTGCATGAAATTTTGCGTAAGAACTTTTCTAACCCGGTTGTAACTACGATTTTGCTTTTTGTAATATGTTCTCGAAGAATTCCATTGCATAAAATTGACAATTTTAGTGTGATTAGCATGCCAAATAACACCTTTACACAAGACCTGAGACACCTTTTGATTTTGTTTTATTTACCGTATACCTACAGTAACAATCAAAAAACGCTTTCGCTGTCATTATGAGGAGCGGAAGAATCAGGGCTAAGTCTTAAGCAAATGAGATTATGTAGCTTTATTGTAGGCATGAAAACTTGCGAAAATCAAATTAAAACTGGAAAAAATGCGAAATTTCAGAAAAATAAGGGCAGATTTCAGAGAAAGCTTACCAGTGTTGAATACGAAAAAACTCCGACGTCGTCGTAAGGTGTCAGAGCGCTGACGAACGCCGAGGCTCGACGAGGGGTGTGACCTCTCGGTGACCCTTCACATGGCTGAGCGCAAGCGCCCAATTAGACGTTCGCATCTCTATAGGAGCGCTCGAACGCGGCTTTCACTTATTAAATTGATCTAAGAGAACAAAATGAAAAAATATCTCATTATAATGCGATGGAAGACGTCTGGAGCTAATCCACGCTAATGTGATTTAAATTGACAACGATTTGATGATAGGCTTAAAGCTAGAAGCACGAGTAGAACTGGATCTCTGTTGGCTTCAATGAATTAACGTGAATTAGCAAAACCATCGTTATTGATGATGATGAACCACATAATGTCTCTGAGGTTCGAGTCCATGCAAAGGATTGTTAAAACACTGGCTGTGAAGTGGTGGAGTGGGGACGAAGGGGGGTGGGGGGGGGGGGGAGAGGTTCTGCAAGTGATTCATACGACTGTTTGCCAGAAAAAACAAACTTTTGATGGTAAGTAATAAATATGATTTCAAAAAACTGGCGATGAGGCTATCGCATAATCTGATTGTGCATTTGGGCTTCCCACCATTCATCTTGCCCTTATTATATCGTGCTCTAGCTGATTTGCATAAATTGCTGTAATTAATCGCAATCAAAATCAAAAATCTGCTCTCACCGAGTTCAAATAAAAAGCCCTTACGTTGCTGAACGGCAACTTACAAAGATCAAGTGTTAGTATAAGGGATATAAGGGAAAGGGACTGTTACAATCGCAGGCACACTAGTACGCAATTCTTTTCATATATCAAACTTCACGTTCTAAGGACTTTAAGTCTAGGAGTTCTCAGACAATTCACCGGAACTTCCGCAAGACACAGGCAGGATTTGCGGCGATTCCGCAGCACTTTTTTAGCCATTGAGACAGTCACGTTCCAAAAATGCGAAGTTTCCGCAGGAAATTGACGTCAGAGCGATCATAAACCGGAACTTTCGCAGCACTTTCCATAAAGCGCTGCGAAAAACCAATGAGGCTCGTAAGGTTTCCGCAGTACTTTGAGAGCGCATGCACTTGCGATTGCGAAATAGCAAAGCAAGGTACTACAATTGCAGTACCTTGTAAAGGAAACTCGACAAATGGCTTCTAAGCAAGCTGGATATCGTTTTTGGGACAAAAAGCAAAGGGGGTGTCGTTTTTAAGTCGGAAAGAACACAAAAATTGCAACGTTTTTTTTACGTTTCGTTTTTTGAGGGTTATTTTAAGTTTAGGGTCAAAGGAGACTTCGTAAGAACTCGCGAAAGTCAAGGAGGACTTCATTTCTTGCATTTTTCAAGAGCCACCTCGTGCCGAGCCCTGATGATCAGACCATCTACGATATTGAATGGGAACAACTTTTGATTTGCAAATTTGAAATGTCATAGAAGTCCGCTAAAGCAGTAGTACACGGAGATATCAATATGCCACGATTCTAGAACAAGCTAATATGGGGTTCTCAAAGAAAATTTCTAAAATATTCACGTTGAACTTTCAAACGATAATTGTCTTGTCTTGATCCCCTACTATGAAGCAGCCAACTCAACAATTTAATGCAAAAATTAACAGTGCTCACAACTTCAGTGTAACAGATTCAGCAGTAGAAACGGGTCGTAAATTTTGTCACACTCCCTTCCAAATGGTCCGATCACAAATTATTCTCTCTGCAAGTCGTTTCTGACGGTTTATGAGCAAATCAAATCTCTTACTTGTTGTCAACAGAAGAAAGTGTTTTACAAGAGAATTCTGTGTCTAGGTCAGATGTGAGATGTACGTAAAAGATGAAGGAAAGACGGAGGGTAGGAGGGAGGAAGGGAGGACAATGAGCAGGAAGGATAAATCATGATAACTAATAATATTTGTATTTCTGCTGGTTTGCATGGCAAAGAATTCACAATGACAAAAGCTCATCACATAGTTTTGCATTGTATTAAGTCGTTACATAAGTTTTGTTACACTTTCTTCATCTTACTCTGGAAAACTCTAGAAAATTCGGCAAGATCTCATATTTGGCATATATGGAGAAGGGATAAAGGGTTATTCGCAGGCTCCATTTATGCTCTCACCACATGACTTACAGTGAAAATAAAGGCAACTCTATAGAGGCACTCCGACCTCCAATTTTTCCTTTATTTCCTAAAAAATCTCTTATTCTTCTTTTCCAACTTTTATTTTTGTGAACATTCAGGAGCACTGGTAGTAATCACTGAGCAGTTTGGAAGTTCGAGCTCTTCAATATCCAAAATTGGAAATTTGCCAAAAATAATTAGAAAAAATTTCAAAAAAAATCGAAAATTTGATTTTTTTTTGTATGACATGTATGACATGATAAATCCGCAACATTATGGAGATAAGGAAAAATGTCTGACAAAGTTATGGGGATTTTTTAGTTGAGTGTAACAAAACTTATGTAATAACCTAATAAAATTACGCCTGGGATTGAACTGAGTAAGCTCTTCCAATTTTTTTTTGAATTTCAAGTGAAATCAATTAGATATCTCTTGATCACATAGTGCAATTACTGCTAGAGTCGCATATAATTTTGATTGGAATATAAATTGGGCGACAGATACAAAAAGAAATGCAAATAGAAAAAATTCACATATGAAATCTAATGCTTCCCGAAATATCACATACCCCTCTCAAGTCAGTATGTTCAGAGATGCATCGAACGGTACGGTGACCAAAGTGAATGCATGGTACTTGACGGAAATTTACAGAAGTGACGACTTCTTCATGGCTCACTCCGGGATGCATATGCTCCTCGTTGCGACCAGGATGCGCCGCTGGCGATGCCACTGAACCAACCGATCGGGCTGAATTCACACATTTTATATGGCAACTTTTACGGATTGAAAACGCAAACCGACCTCTTTCAATTTTTTGTCGTTCACTTAGATGTCTGGCAATGCTTCGAACAGTGCCGTTTGTCGGACGACGTATCGTACCATTGCATTCTACAGTAGAAGCTTTTCCGTCAGGCTCTTCGTAACCTAGAACAAGTGAGTCAGCGAAGCGCAGTAAAACAAAATCATTTTCAAACCTTCTCTGTTATGATATATGTCTTCGTCGACCTCGGAAAGCGTCCCCAGCTCGATTGTTCTTGACCGAGTGCTGCCCTGCATGTACCGCCGACGAGTACGGGTATTTTGTCTGGGAGGATCAGGAGGGATAGGCATCGCCGAATATAGATGTTGCGGAATAAAATTCTTGGAAAGGAGTGTAGGTGATCCGGTTACCTAAAAAAATTGATTTTTCCCTATGTAAGGGGTGACTGGCAGCTGTTTTTAAGCAAGACATTCTGAAAAAAATTTAGAAGAGAAAGTAGTTGTGGAATTTAGGGAACATGTAGAATCTCAGCAATCGAAACTCATTGTGCTGAGTTACGATAACATATCAGATATGCTAAGAAGAATTCTTGACTTCTAAAACTTCTCAATTTGCAAATTGCTTTTATTTAGTAAATCAGATAGATTTAGTACCTAAAAATCACTTTTTTCGAATGTAAATGGAAATAATTTAGAGCAACATTGGATGTGCTAATTTACGCGGAACAGCCTTGTTGTAAAAGACAATTAATTCGGGGAATAATTCAGGTGGATTCAATAAATTATTAGGGTGTCCCATATTTTTTCACCGTTTTTACCCGAAATATCAGCATTTCTCAACACTTTTGAAGCATAAGAATACATGGTGAGCTTCTATATGTATGGTCTATATGATCACGTGCGTGGGAGAAGCTCAAGATGTCTAGGGGCGGAGTTTGTCATTTTACCCCGTTCATTCATGAAAAAAAAACCGAAATATTACGATTGAATGTGCGATGTGTCAAGCATACGCTAGGATACAAGGGATATTTTTGAGACATTTTGGGGCGAAGATACGATTTTTGACAGGAAAGTTCTTTTTGACTACTATCAGATTCAGCTCCAAGCTTCCGGTGAAATACGATTTGGGCGGATTCTTCATAACCATCTAGGGCTTGCTTTACCCTGTCGAATGATTACTCAAGCCGCATCACTGGAGGAAAAATGCGAAGTGACGACGGTAGTAAAAACTGTAAAAAGTTATGGAATACCCTAACACATCCTCTAATATTTCATGGCATAGCACTCATCTCTCAGGCAAACATTCAAACAAGCAACAGCGTAGATGATATTAAGAAAGAAAAAGCGCCAGATTGCTAACTGCATGAACAATAGCCAACAAACTGCTTTCTAACAATTAGTATTGAATGTGGCAGTAACCCGTTTTGCTTTGCGGGAATTAGAGACTTGTGGGATAAGAAGCAAGAAGACATTTTTCCCATGCTTTACATTCTTCATCTCCCCGAAGCTCTCGCTCCACCACTGGCATTGTTTTATGAATACACCTACTAGATTGTCGGAAAAATTTTCATGCAAAATTTGGGATTTGTCTCTTCCCAGTGAAACCAAACTTTATGACCAGGGACACAGCTGGCACCGTGTCAAGCTGGATTTCGTTTTTGGGACAAAAAGCGAAGGAGCTATCGTTTTTGTGGCCGAAAAAACACAGTCTAGGTTACGTTTTTACCGACGTTTTGTTTTTTGAGGGGTTTTTTACGCTTAAGGTTTAGAATCAAAAAGGACATTGTAAAAATTTTTCAAGAGCAGAGGAGAATTCGTTTCGGAATTTTCTTGGTGCCACCTCGTAACTAGCCCTTTTTGGCTAAAGGCATGTAGAGATTGAGCGCTCACCACCAATCGGTTTTTTTTGTAAAAAAACGTTTCATATAAGGAAACAATGACCTATGGTCTTCTATGGATATTTCGTAACCTAAAACATTTGCATAAACAAAATTTCTTGACTTTTGTGGCCGACACAGAAATGAACAACAAATGACCCAAACTATTAGAAAGATTGAATAAGTGTTACGTGCTGTAGTTTTCCCGCTAAGCAAAGCCGTTTACAGTTGCCAAGCCAGGAAAAACCAAGACATATTTGCCTTTTGTCGTACATTTGCACATCCTAACTTTGCAAGTGATAAGTGTTCGAAATAGATAAATCTCATGGAAGTATGACAATTTGGTACTCCTCAAAACCGCAAAAATATTTGTTTGGACAATCAGGGCAATATATTCTCTGTCATTGTTTCTGGCGATAAGAAGTAGTTCCGAGACAGATGTGGACAATCATGATGTTGTGCTATTTGATAAAAACAAGTTACCTCAAGAAAAGTTTGCTGCGCAACAAAATTTTCGAAAGCGAAGAACAAAGGTTTGGAACTAAAGGTTATTGCATGACGAGGCGCAGATGCAATATTAGTTGAGAGGGCGCGAACGCGACGCGCGCGCGTATCTTAATCGTTTTAAATCTTAGGCCTATACGCTCTGCGGCAATGGGAGTACGGTAGTAATGTTTGAAGCAGGTTTCCTCAGAAATACTCAGGATGTTTCCACATAACTTCAAAAGTTTGAAATTATTCTGTAAAAAAGATGTAATAAAAGGAATCAATAATTTTTTATTCTAATGCGAGAATCGATTTTTAGGATGGCTCTGTCTGCCTTTACAGCAAATGTAGATTGACCTTTTGAGAAATTGTGCCTATAAGAATGAATCAAATCAGCATTACCAAAATTTAAACGATATCTGGAGCACTTTAATAAGCCTATAAATGCTTTATAAACATGGAAAACCTCTGTGGCGCAAAAGCTTTTTTGATTTGCTAGGAAATAATCTTTGCTACGGAAAACTGATTTTGAGGGGCCTTTTTCTAATATTTTCGGACTTTGATTCGGCTGTAAAAGAGTTTGGCAATGTTATCATTTTTAGGGTTCTTCCGTCTATATCTGCGAATCTTCAACGCTTTCCATTTGTTCATGATCATTGTTCATTATTAAATTTTCTGTTATGATAGTTTAGAGCTTAAGTTATGTTGCCAGGATTCGAGAGAGAAAATAGGCAACATCTATTAGAAGTTGCTTCAAAAATTTGCGAAAATGCTCATTTTTCTCCCTTTTTCAATATTCTAAATCTATAATAGAACATCGATTTCATTTCTCAAGTCCTTCCTTTTTTCTTAAAACCGTTCGTCTTCCCTGAGAACGGCTGTGCACAAGCGGCTTGTTAAAAAGATCAGGATGTACTGCCTTATTACAGTCATTAAGAGGAAGTTAACAGCCTCTAAAAATGAATTCCAGATTCTATAGCCAGGGCACAAATTCCAAAGTCAAGTAAATGTGTCAAGTTTCGGAATCCAAAAAAGTAAACCAATCAATTCTTATAGAAATTATACGAAAGCATCCTGTAACGGTTTAGTTTATATTGCAAATTTGTGGTCATAAGCATTTAACATAGTGCATACCTTATTTGAGCAAAATACAGCAGTCAAAAAAGATGTAATTACAGATAAAAGTGAATGTGTTAGCAGTTTAAAAGTAAAGCAAACTAATTGCAACAGCTGTATAATTCTTTCATCTTCTAATGCTGTCCTTCAAAAGGCGAAGAGTAACTTAAAGCCTTATTAACAAAAACTACTATTCTCTTTATGACACGAATAGCTATGATTCTTTGTCGCATTAAGATGCGCTCGGAAGAAAATTGACTGTGTAATGAAAAATATATTCATAATTTGAGAACTTATAGGCAAAAAAAGTTATTTGGCTAAAGTATGTTTGAGGCAAGTTGTGTTTTAATGCAAATTAATCATTGGTCAATTAATCAATTGATCAATTTGTTTGTTTGTTTATTCCCAACGAAAAATACATTTCCATAACCCCCTGAATCAAGATGAAAGCCAACAACTACCACGCCAAAAAAGCCCCGACGCCTCTAAACTTTTACGATTTCAAATCAAAGATTGGTAGCATTTTCCATGCTTTGCATTTTGCTTTGCTTCTATTCCTTTCAAAATGAAGTAGTGAGCGCAAAATCTAGACATTGAAGATTCACTTTTTTCGCTTTTCGCTTGCATTGGACAAGTTGGAGTAAGCAAGCCTCTCAGCAGCATGCTTTAAGAACAAGTTTGCTAGAGAATTTGGATATTTCTGTGAAAAACAGCTTAGTGTTTGATCTTAAGGAAAAGGAAAGTTAGTTGAGAATAGGCTAGCTAACTAAGAATAGAATAGCTGATATTTATCCTGCTGTTAGGAAAGGGAAAAGAAAATGATGGTCAAGAAAAGGAAGGCCCTTGTATTTCAGCAAATTGATATAATAATTACAAAGCGCTGATCCAATGTTGTGATTTCATCTCATATTTCGAGAGAAAAAAAACCTTAATTTGTCTGCAAAAATTTTGCAAAAATTCACGTGAATAATCCATAGACAGGACTCATCAAGATTGTGAGTAATCCAATGAATATTAAAACTTACGCAGTTTTATAAAACCTTCGAAAGTCAATCCCTCAAAAATGTATGCAATTTCTTCTTAGAAATCAAATTTGCTTCACTTTACGAAATCCCTTTTTTATTCTTTTTGATAGGACTTGCTAGGACAAGGTGAAAAAGATTTGGCGACTGCAAAATTACGTGAATATTGAAAAAGCCAGCCAAAGCTTGTCGAAAACAAAAGCTTGTTTCTATAGAGAAGATTAAGTGCATGAGCGAATGTTTGGCAAACATCGATTTCCATATGTAGAATATCTTTTTGTGGTTAATTTGATTCATTTTAGTGTTAGGCATTTATGTGAGTATACATGCGACCTTTTGAATGTTCATAGTAAAAGAGAAAGCCCGATTATGTAAAAATGAATGTTCATACTAAGTTTAAAAAAAGAACCATTTTGAGTTTCCAACAAGCTACATGCCAAAAATATTAGAGTAAAATATTAAATAGAATCATTGGCTTTCGATGGTATTTCGACAATAACGATTTTCTAGGTGTATTTTCCAAACAACTTTTTTCCATCAAACTTTCTTTTGCGATAGAAATTATGCATATCATCGAAAAGCTCTTTTCACGTACTTTCTAAAAGTGGTGAAATTAATTTTCTATCTGATCTATGGGAATTTTACTTACATTTTGTACGTCCGCACTCAAAATCGGAATTTTATTCCTTTAACTCTCTGGCCACTCTTTTCTTTTCGTACAACTCCTCCGTTAAAGTCTGTACCATACAAAGGTATACTACTGGCTTGCACCTACAAAAGGACCTGATTAGCAGTCATAGGAATAAAACTTGAAGGGAGTTGTAGTTTCTTAATGACGAGGTTTTCGAAA